CTGATTGCTTAGAACGTCGTAGCCGTCAGTGAGATCAAAACTATAAAAACGAGATATGATCTTACATGTATATATCGTATATTCGATTGTGGTTCTGAATAGCCACAGGTGTAATCATGATGTTCAAGCTTTCGAGGGTCTCGCTGTTTGAGCTTCTGAAGATACTCACTCGTCTATTATGGGTTAGATTGCCACTGGTGGGAGGATTTTCACCGTCACTATCATTGAAACCTTACCAGATACATTCGTTGTTATTGACTACCAGTTAATTGATGGGGGCAAGCCCCCAAACCCCCATAGCTCGCTGCGCTCGAAGATTTGGGATTTCATTATGTGGTGTCTTGTGTGTAGCCGAGTGAGTGTCTGGTAGCTTTTCACGATGTTAACCTTGGCATCTTCGAATGGAATAAGATGCAGAAAGAGATGAATGCAAATTGGAAAGATATATCCTATGAGCCTTTGAGCCATGTACCCTAGGTAGCTAGGTAGGTCTTAGATATACTAGATACAATACAATAAACAAAACCCTTTTGTGAAAACCACCAATTAGCTAGCTGTGCTGTCTACCCACACCACACACCTACATATACCTACCTACACCGAGGTCTTCTTACCAAGCCATTCACCCTGAAAAATAAGCTCACATTCACTCCCATTCACTCATACTCACCTTAATTATACCTTCCTTCCCTTCTTACCCAACCCTACCAAAAGAATCGATCCTTCCTATTTCCCCCCACTCTATCACGGTTTATTACTCTTTATGGATAAATAAGCGAGCTTCCCTTAGCGTCCTTTGCTCTTCTGCTCCGTGTATTCGTTAATACAGCAAGCCAAAGGCAAAGAGGCAAGGCAAGGCAGGAAAAGGCAAAGAGAGCGTCATTTTTAGTAACATCACCTTTCTCTTCCCTCCTCCAAAAAACTGCACGCGATCTGCAAAAGAATAAAGACAATTCTACCCAAATCTTTACATTCCCATTAAATAAGATTTTCAATCCACCAGATCTCGATAATTATCTCTCTTATAGATAATACCAAGGTATTTCTTCTATCTATAACCTCTTCCGCCTTCCCTACCAAGAAAATTAAGACCCCGCATCCCACCCATACCTCTTTGCAATCTCTGTCAAGGAACACCACGCGAAGATCTCGAAATCTTGTTGAGAGAAGGATCTGAATTGTTTGTCGGATTTCTGTAGAAAGGTTTGAGATCTATCTTCAAGATGGGTCAGACTCTTTCGGAGCCCGTCGTGGAGAAGGTATGTTTGTTTATCTTTGTTCGCTTTATCTGTTTACTGTGTCATTGTCGGCGCCGGTCTTTCGTGCCAAGGTATCGCATACCTGGTATGACATGCTGGCGTGGAAATACTTCTGCGTCGCGCAGTAATATAGAGACTCTATGTAATTTGTTCAATGAGCACAACCTTCCTACAAAAATATTCCGTGAAGACTCGATTTTCAGCTGCAATTCCACCACCAAGGTCTTTCTGCCACCACTGCCTATGGTTACTAACATGGCTTTCTCTATTAGCATTCAGCTACCGGAGGCGATGAGAGATTACTTTATGGTGTCTCTTCCATGCAGGGATGGAGAATCAGCATGGAGGACGCGCACGCGACTATCCTCGATTTACAACATACAAAAGGACAGGAATTGAAGCCAGCTCCAATCGATAGCAGACTCTCATTCTTCGGTGTTTACGATGGACATGGAGGAGACCGGGTCGCACTTTTTGCAGGAGAAAATATACACCAGATCATCGCAAAACAGGAAGCATTCCAGAAGGGTGATATTGAACAAGCTTTGAAGGATGGCTTCCTTGCAACAGACAGAGCAATCTTGATGGGTTAGAACAACATTATCCTTCTACCATACAGGAATACTGATTTGAGTTATAGATCCAAGATACGAGGAGGAAGTTTCTGGCTGTACCGCATCCGTTGGCATAATTTCGCACAAGAAGATCTATGTGGTAGGTTATATGAGGCAAAAGACACTGAAATATGCTTACTGTTCATAAGGGAAACGCCGGAGACTCAAGAAGCGTTTTAGGAGTCAAGGGTCGCGCTAAGCCTCTGTCATTCGACCACAAGCCGCAAAACGAAGGTAGCTTCTCATGATATTGGCGATGGACTGCACAAAATACTAATGTACCTCTGTGCAGGCGAAAAGGCCAGAATTAATGCGGCTGGAGGCTTCGTCGATTTCGGTCGTGTCAATGGCAACCTTGCATTATCAAGAGCCATTGGTGACTTTGAGTTCAAAAAGAGCGCAGAGCTTTCGCCTGAGCAGCAGATCGTCACTGCATTCCCCGATGTTACTGTACACGATATTACAGACGATGACGAGTTTTTAGTGGTCGCTTGTGATGGTCAGTAGCTTACGACGAGTCAATGAGAACAACAAGGCTAACTCGATCTTTAGGTATCTGGGATTGCCAATCATCCCAAGCTGTTATCGAGTTTGTTCGACGAGGCATTGTTGCCAAGCAAGATTTATCTAAAATCTGCGAGAACATGATGGATAACTGTTTAGCATCCAATTCGGAAACTGGTGGTGTTGGTTGTGATAACATGACCATGATTGTTATTGGTCTCTTGAACGGCAAGACTAAGGAAGAGTGGTACGATGAAATTGCGAAGCGTGTTGCGAATGGAGATGGTCCATGTGCCCCTCCGGAGTATGGCGAGTACTCCGCTGATTTCCAATGTTAGAGTATTTCCTAACACATTTAATAGCTGAATTTCGTGGACCTGGTGTTCATCATAACTTTGATGATAGTGACAGTGGCTATGATGTTGATATGGACCAGAAGCTTAAGTCTTTCGGTGGGAACCCACGTGGACGGATCATTCTTCTTGGAGATGGTACAGAAGTCCTCACTGATTCCGATGATACAGAGATGTTCGATCATAGTGAGGAAGACAAGGATCTCGCCAGCCAAGTCCCAAAGGGACAGCCTCATTCCGAAGTTCCCGAATCCGATGCCCTACCCGAAAAGATTGACCCGAAAGAGCCAAAGTATCAGGCAGTCGTAGACGAAGTTTTACCAAAATCGAGCAAAGCGGAAGAGAAGTAGGAGTAATTTGGGTATAATTGGTATATCTTTCAAGATTTATGAAGTGAAAGACGAAGGAAGGGGAGGATGTTGAAATAAAGATGTTAATGACTCGAGAAATTATGCAAACCAGATTCATCTTGATGAATGACTATTTTTGCGACGATATCTGGAATAGAAGGGGTTGCGAATTGTGTGCATTTTTCTAAGCATAACGTGAGATGAATTCACGCATTGCAATGTCTCCTGCAAATCTTCATCACTGCTGGGAGGAAATGGGGAGTATGGAGTGGGGAAGGTATAAAGGTCATGAAAACTTTATATCTAGTAAACATGATAGAGATGCCCAGGGTGTGGTGGCTTCTGCTTCGACATGAAATTTTCTGAACTTACGATCTTCATACTCAGCGAGTCATATTATCATGATGATGAGTCCGTTTCTTTCTCTTCTTCAATTTTACATTACAGATCTCTTATAGGAAGGGTCTCTAGACTAAGGCCGAGTTACAATGTACCTTGAAAATTATCAATTGACATCCTCCTGACCAAAGCGTTTTACGAGTTCATGTAATGTTTCTAAATTGAATGTGTTTGCATGTTCGCAGGTTTGTTAAGTTGCAGATGGTCCCCTCTTTTACGCCCCAAGGTGGCTCCAAAGACGTAGCGAATAGATAGCTAGCAGAGTGATGAAGTGTCTAATCGAATGGAATCGAATCGTTGGCATTGCTTTGTACTTGGACTGGACCCATTGCATTGCAGTAGATGGGGGGAATAGATCATAGGTCACAGCTTTGAAGTGGAGAAAGAGTATGTTTTACCCTTGAGACTAAGAGATGCGGTCAATGATAATACTGCAATGATATAAAAGTTTCCGAGCTTTCCTTCCTAGTTACTAGGGAGGTAGTTACCCCACGAACGGGCGGAACTGCAGAGTGAAAAAATGCTTTCAGGTTATGGGTTGATATGATAATGTTGGTGGGTTGAGGAGGTGAGATTTAATTGGGAGAGGACTTGAGAGGAGGGAGGAAGTTCACCGTCTCTTTGTTATTATCTACCGACGAGTAGATGATAGATAGGTAGGTAGGTGCTCGAGGTATGTATTATGTATTGTACTCCTACTCGTACTTGCCTACTCGAGTACATATTTGATTTCATGAGATTCCATGGTTACCTAATCATCCCTCATAAGCACCAGAACCAATCGATCACTCATATTCTCTTAGCGTCGCACGTGCTTCCTCTTACTTGATCTTGATAATAGCAATGGGAATGACGATATCGAAATTCCCGGGTTTATTGGGAAATTCAAAGAACGCCTCATTCATGAGAAACCTGGTTTATGAATTTTCAAGGGAAGAAGAGACAGAACAAGTCCCTACCTACCTACCTACCTACCTACCTACCTACCTACCTAGTAATAATTTAGTTTAAAAGTAGCTCGATGTGAGGACAACAAGACAATTCCAGTCCAAACAATCAACTTATTACAAACTCATATTATGTTTATGTTCAATGTTCATCAAATTTACATAAACTTTTGATTTTTCTCCCTCAGAGAAGAGAAAGAAAGCATAACTCGTTTTTTTCTACATTTATCGTCGTCGTGATAATCTTTATTGACATACCTACCCTACCTACTCAAATCTCCAAAGCTTTCTTTGCATTGCATTGATATCCATTTCTCTAATCCACCACACAATCCTAAAAGAAAGATTACATCAACGGCCAACCACCTCTAACTAATAAACCCCTGTCAAAATTATTTAAATTCGGGAAGCTCCTCCAATTGTCAAAGAACTACAGTCAGTACCTACAGCGCAGCACAGCACAGCACAGTACCTACAATTCAAACACAAAAACGCGAAAGCTTATAATCGACTTGTCTCAATCTCCTCTTCTGTCAGTCGAGTCTATTTTTCAGATTGAAAGTTTAATTTCAAAATGTCTTCTCCATCATCTGGCGGAAGTGTAGGAAAGAGAAAGCGTACTGCTACTGCTTCATCTTCCAAGAAATCCTCAACACTCGATCAATTACAAAATTCATCAAGAGATGCATCTGGTGAAGATGGCGAATCCACAGCTCCAGAAAGCAGAGAAACACGTAGCTCAAGTCACAAAAAGACTATCTCCGTGGACTCTCAAAACCCACCGGCCAAACGTCTTCGCTCATCTACACACGAGAAAGTCGCAGTTAATGGATCCGACAATGCGCGAGATCCAGGCGAACCATCGGACACAACTGAAGGCAGCACAGACATTGCGAACAGAGTTGCAAAGAAAGGAAGAAAAAGTATTTCCAAAGGAGATGAAGAAGTGCCAGAACAAGAGGGAGAGAAAGGAGAAACCACACAGTCAATGGCCCCACCACCAATTGGAAAATTGACAGATCCAGTTGGATACAAAACCAATCCACCCCCGGCTGATAGACCAGTTCGTGTTTATGCGGATGGTGTGTTTGATTTGTTTCATCTTGGGTATGTATTCTACAAACTACGGGACTTGAAAGTTGTAGCTAATTCATGGCAGACATATGCGACAGCTTGAACAAGCTAAAAAGGCATTCCCAGACGTTTATTTGTTGGTCGGGGTTACAGGAGATGCGGAAACACACAAGAGAAAGGGACTTACAGTTCTATCTGGGCAAGAGCGAGCTGAGACTGTAAGACATTGCAAATGGGTGGATGAGGTTGTTGAGAACTGCCCATGGATTGTTACTCCAGAATTTCTAGCAGAGAAAAGGATTGATTACGTTGCGCATGACGATCTTCCATATGGAGCTGATGAGGGAGACGATATTTACAAACCAATCAAGGAACAAGGAAAATTCTTGGTTACGCAGAGAACTGAGGGTGTCAGCACGACTGGTATTATCACAAAGTATGTCTTTGATTCTCTATTTCCCATATCACTACTAACATTCACGCAGGATTGTTCGAGATTATGAGAAATATATTGCACGTCAATTCAAGCGGGGTACAACAAGACAGGAGCTTAACGTATCGTGGCTCAAAAAGAATGAACTCGATCTAAAACGTCATGTTGCAGAGATGAGAGAAGCTATCCGAACGAATTGGAGTACTACTGGTCAAGAATTGGGCAAAGAGTTGAAACAATTCTGGCAATCCAGTCGTCCCGGTAGTCCCGCACGCATGCACAGTTTCGATGCAAATAGTACCGGATCCCTTACAAGCCCATCTGCTCTACAACATCTTACACGCCGCCTGGAAATTCCAAGAAATGATAGTCCAGGTCCGGGTAGTGATTTTGCAACAGGATATAGCTTAGGTCTTATTGGCGGTGTACGATCATGGGTACGTTAATCAATTCTTAATATCTACTCAAGCTAACTTTATCTTCTAGATGACTCGAAGTCGCCAAACCAATCGTGATAGTTTGCAAGGAAGTGAAAGCAGTGAAGAGGAAAGTGATGAGAGACTTTCACCACGTGGTAGAAGCGAAAAGGAAAATTTCAAACCTGATGAAAATGAAGTTGATGAAGAACAAGTCGATGCACAAATTGATGCGGCTATGGCGGAAAATGCTAAGAAATCTGGCCAATAAATGTGGATTGGCTTTTGGAATGACGCAGGGTCTACAGGACTTTAATTGAAAAGTCTTTCATTTTGTTTTGTGTGTTCGATTTTTTACCTTGTAGTATATACTTTGTTGTGTTGTTGTGCTACATACATACCTATGTGAGGGTATTCGGCAAGTTGTGTGGGATAGTCGGGAAGAGATTCAAGCATTGAAGTCCGAGCAAATACTAAAGGTCGTGGTGATATCATTGTCGGAGCTTAGGGTGAGCGTTTTCAAGCAGAGTGGCACGGCAGTTGGAGTGTTGGAGCGAATGTCTGAAATGCATACTTAGGTATGATGCCCAGGAAGCGCGAAGGGAGATTGTTATATACCTACCACCTAGGTATGTTCGGCCAGAAGAAATATGGTCCGAAGCCTAGTCTTTGTGTTGGTTTTACTCACTTTGTATTTTTATCATTATGTTGCTAGAGTTAATGGAAAAGGAATGGGTTTAATGGAGATGGGTTTAATGGAGAATGATGGTGGAATTGCAATGGTTTGGACTTTTGGATAGACAAAAACTTAAGATGATAACGTTGATTTGCAAGCCAGACTGAGGTTTTATTTTTGGTATGAATTGTTTTGGTGAATTTAAATGAGTATGTCTACGATGCTAAAACCACGTTTGTCGATCTACAATATCTTGAAACTCCCGTCTCGTCTCGATGATTTGGTGGTGGCGGCAAGCATAAGGATAGCATAAATCAGCCACGTGATCTCGACCAATCACCAGTTTTGAATTAATCAACCGAGATCAATAATTTGAACCTTAGTGACATCGACGACTTACTGGTAACCTCAGAACGCTACGGGATTCCCGACACCGACCTCTCCCCTCTATCTTTCCTTTCCTTGTGTTATTCTCAATTGAATTAATTGAAAGGAGGGAGATTTAATAAGATTCCCAAGAATAAGACGAACGAGACAGGCAAGACGAGCAAAATGTTCAAGACTACACGATCTGCGGGGGCAATGGCTTTGAGAGGTTTGTTTTGCTTTATACCCTTCTCTGCCTCTTCGCTGCCAATACACTGATGGCGAAATCAATCATGAATTTTCATACTGATCATGGTATCGACTATACTATATACCCAATGCTAACACAATGAACAGCCAAGCCCACCTCATCCCTCCTCCCTTATCGATCCCTAGCAGCAATCTCCAACAGCGCAACCAAGCCAGCTCAAGCACAAGTTCAGGCAATGGAAACTAGACATCCAGCGGATAGAGGAAATCTCAAACTGAGTGTTACAGGAAAGGAGAGGAGAGAAGTGCTTCTTCCTAGTCAAGAGGGAAAGAAGGGTGTTATGCAATATGCTTTGTGAGTTTGATCTTATATCTGGGCGTTAGTTGATGAGTGTGTGGGGACAGCTGGGCGGATTAAAGGGAAGGAATGTGGTTGAGAGTAATGTTAGGGAAAGAGCGAGAGATACGTCTGTTTGGAGTGATCGCTTTACTTGGGACTTTTGTTATGTTTCGGGACCTTTCCGCTCAAGTGGCGACCAAAAAAAGGAATGTGAGAACAAAAGCTAACACTACGCAAACAGAACCACACTTGATCAAATTGCCAATTGGGCACGACAAGGATCCCTCTGGCCCATGACCTTCGGACTCGCCTGCTGCGCCGTCGAAATGATGCATCTCTCAACCCCACGTTACGATCAAGATCGTCTTGGTATCATTTTCCGTGCTTCTCCTCGTCAATCCGATGTTATGATTGTAGCTGGTACTTTGACCAATAAGATGGCTCCTGCTCTTCGTCAAGTTTATGATCAAATGCCAGATCCAAGATGGGTGATTAGCATGGGAAGTTGTGCGAATGGTGGAGGGTATTATCATTATAGTTATAGTGTTACAAGAGGTTGTGATCGTATTGTTCCGGTCGATATTTATGTGCCAGGTTGTCCGCCAACTAGTGAGGCACTTATGTACGGAATCTTCCAACTGCAGAAGAAGATGAGACATACGAAGATTACTAGGATGTGGTACAGAAAGTAGATGGTTTGTATGGTGTGGTTGGGGGGTTGAGAGGTTGGAGAATCTCATGGCTGCTTGATTTAGATTGCAGATGGATGGATAGACGGATTGATGGAATGATGGATGGATATGCGGATGACAATGGGGTGGGGTGGGTTCAAGAGTCTGTACAAAATGTACATAGTCCACTGGGAGTTTTCGTCATTTTTTATTTGAGAAAGGGAAAATACAATGGAATTGAGAAATATTTTAAATCTTGAAATGGTTCATGTGAGGATATAATGTTTGATGGTTGATTTTGGATTTGGATGTGATCGAAATGGGGTTGTGGTTGTTTTCTATTGATAGGTGGATTGTGAAATTACGTGGATGATGAGTGGGTAGGGATGAGGATGAGGATGAGGATGAGGTGAGCGTTATAGATGGGTGAGAGGGCTTAGAGGGTGAGGTGGTATGAGATGGAGGGTTGCGGAGGGGGAGTAGAATAAGATTGTTTGTTGGGGTTGCGGTAGGTGGGGGGGAGGAGAGGAAAGGGGGGTGAATGGAAAGAGGGGGGAGGGGAAAGGGAGGTGAGGGGGAAAGGGAGGTGAGGGGAAAGGGAGGTGAGGCAGGAGAGGGGTATGAGTATAAGAGATGGAGAGATATATGGGGAGCACGGGATAATGGGATAGATAGGATAGATGGGAGAGTAGATTTTGAATGAGAATTAGGAATTGGAATTGGTTTATGAGGGTGAGAATGGGGAGGAGAATGAGGATGGGGATGGGGATGGGGATGGGGATGGGGATGGGGATGGGGATGGGGATGGGGATGGGATGGGGATGGGGATGGGGATGGGGATGGGGATGGGGATGGGGATGGGGATGGGGATGGGGATGGGGATGGGGATGGTTGATGGGCTGATTGATTCCAGGAATATAATATATTTGAATGATAAAATGCTATGAGGAGAACAAGCGAATAAATAACATTGAGTGAGATGGCGGGCTCGACGAGGAGAAATGTTGGGAGGGAGTTGATGATAGAGTCGAGGATTACATATTTTTGAGCGATGGATTGTGTGGAGATTATGATGCATTGAAGGGAGAGGGGAGAGAGAGAGATATCCATGTTTTTAGGGACAATAAGACGGGGTTTTTGAGATATCTATGTGCTATGTGGATGAGTGGGTGTGTATGGTGTGGGAAGTTCTTTTGTGGTGTTGATCATTGCTGAGATGGGAGTTGGAAATAGGAAATAGGAATGGGGGAGTTGTATTGTATCTGTGTGTTTTTCTGGGGTGGAGAAATATATGTTCCAGTTGATTCATAATAACAGGTTTTCTTACTGTCACTTTTTTACTAATACTACGATTGCCATTGTCGCTGTCTTGCCTAAATGACAAGTCGCCGGTGGGGATCGGGAAGTCGATTGCTTGCTTGTCTTGACTCTAATATTGAATTTGATACCGATTTGGAGTTTGAAGTATCCATGTATATGGTCTCCAGAAGAGGAAATCCTAACTCTCACTATCCAAACGCTTGGGCCGGTATTTTTAGAGATCTTCTTCTAAGATCAATGTCCTTTTATATCTGAGGATGGGATTGGGATGGATGAGCTAGTGTGAGATTTGCGGGAGTCGGGTTTTGAGATTCACTCTTTCGGAATCATTGCTCGGTGAGGGGCTTTCTGGGATGGAGTTGATGAGTGGGAGATGGAGAGGGTTTCTCGTGGTATATAAGACTATGCACAGGCGACCAAGGCAAAAGGATAAGGGAAGAACAGCAAGGCAAACAATAGACGGAAATGGCTTTCTCATCTTGCCAGCTGAATATGATGTAGTTGAGATGTGGCACTGAAATATCATTGTCATATTTGAGGTCTATAAACCTAAGAACCCTGGCAATAAGTAACGAGAATACGTAAGGTTAACTCGGCAGAGAGAAATTACTAGTAACAGCAAATTTTACATTCTGTCGTAGGTCGAAATGACAGCAAGAATCTTGACATTCGGTCTGAGTATACAAGACGGGCTACACTTGGAAATAATTTTATAATGAGAAATGACAAGTGGGAATTCAAGAGATGTTGCAAAAGTATATATTATCAGAGTCCACATGATGGCTAATCTCCACGTTGGAGTTTATGTTTGGAAGCTGGAATTCAGACATGATGGATATATTTATACCTACAGGAACGTGACTTGAAGACAGGATATTTCGTTTGGTTATTTTGTTTTCAGCCCAGGAAAAAATAAAGTGTATATAAACCTGTGTTTTCGTATCAACTTCTTTTTCCTCCCAAGAATTGCTGGTGCAAGGGGTTACATTCAAGTATATGTGAATAAGGAAGAGAAAGAGAAGAGGATAGAGAAAGGAGATGCGATATTCTGGATAGAGCTATCGCGGAATACATGTGTTGAGCGAGATAAGATATATTCCATAAGCCCAAGTACAGATGAAGTGTGGAAAGTCAAGCGATAGACTGCTTGACAGTAACAACAGCAACTGATGATACGACAAGAAGAAAACTGACAACCGATATACTCTTTTCATTACAAATTTGTATGCCATTGGATCCTCCCCGTAACACACAGCTAGTACTGTGAACACCAAAAACCCAATCGTATAAAACAAGTACCGCATCATCGAGAGCCCAATCACAATATAATGTGGTTTTGACATGGCGTAGAATCTAGAATGCTTCTCATTTATTTGATTTCCTGCTTTTGCTCCAAGTTTGGTATTTATACGCAAAGCCGAACCGGAATACTGAGATTTCGAAGAACTTTTGTCTAACCTAATAGAGAAAGAGGCGTGATTTCAATAGTCAGGACAGAAAAATAGCTGGAGCCAACTCTACTCGCTTGATTTTCTGCGATTTCTCAATCATAGTGTACATAAACTACGAAACTTGGATGTGGAAAGTGTATAAGGTATTTATATCTCAGATGAGGATTTTGATAACAAGGAAACTGGTGATTCTTACATAGCTTGAAACTCATCTGTATCCATTCTTCAAATTTTGGAAGTTGGCTTTGTACTCGTAGATTGATTGAATGATGTGACCGGAGAATAAAAATTTGACGACAAAAAGACTGCATTTCCCCCAAACGACAGTGAAAGATAGTTGTCATGTTTGGATTTGCATTATACGCTGACGTTGCGCGACAACGATATTTGTATGCTAGAAAGCATAGTTTAAGAGTTCTGGAAAAGAAGAAGAGCTACCATAAAGAAGCCCAACAGTTCTGGTGGACGATTTTAGGTTAGATCTAAGCGAGTTCCGAAAGTTGAAGCAGAACACCAATGTTGAGTTAAAAGATACGCGTTATCCCAATAGTCGTCATGGCTAGTCCAACGAACCGAACTAAACCCCCAATCATATACTACAAAGAGAAGCTCTTGTCCAAAACCTCGGCGCCAAAATTGCTCGTCGTGGCATCTCGTTCCCGTTCAAGGGTCTAGGCGTTTCTGAATTATTAGAAGCAGACGCGGGAGGCATTTCTGAGATATCGAGCCCAAGACATAGTTTTATAGGTCTTTTCTCATGCTTGTTTTCATGTTCCTGAACACTATCCTCGGTACTATTATCTTTTGGTTTCGTTGATTTTCGTATATTTCTTGTCTTTATCATATTTCTACAACCAGAACAGGATAATAATGAGCAGCTTATGTATTTGAATCTTCCTCTATCCATGCAGATGAATCTTGAGATATCTATTATGCAAGCTATGAAGATGCCGAGAAATTTCTCAAGCAGACTGAAAGTTCGGAATCATTAGTTACGCATGAATGTACGTGTCTGAGATCTACCCACCCGACAAGTGCAACGCCTGCAAGATTCCACAACACATCATCATTATCGTCAAGTCGTCAAGTCTTAACCGGTAGATGATACTCAGAATCGATCCGATAGTAGCACTAATCATCTATCAGTATGCTTTCCCCCTCATGGATCGACTTTGACCTACATGAATCCCGTAGCGAATATCAACCCCACGCCAATTTTCTTTCTCGGCGTTAGTTTTGACTTACTTACAGCAATCAATGGTATTATAATCACATTTATATCAATTATAAACCCCGAAGTAGCACGAGGTAAACTTAATGTTGCATGCGGAAGAAAGAATACGACAACATTTGATGTCTCCATGGTACACCATTACGCGGGATTCCCCAGATCAATGCCAGAATGAGATGGATCGTGTAAAAGATTGACGATATGATAGCACCGATTGTACAAGCTATTTTGAACCAGCTCTCGGTGAAGAATATTTCTATGTAAGTAATGAAGTGTGAGTTTGACGAAACCCAGAGTTGTGGGGTTGATGATGTAGGTTAAACTCAATGGCTAGATTAGAGTGAGTATTGTGATGAAAGCATGAACTGGATAGATTCAAATTGGTGAAATGAGAATTGAAAAATTAGAAGACATAAAATTATGCTGCGGTTGGTAAATATTGCGGACAGGGGAACGTCATATTGGTGGTAACCAGTTGTCCCTCCAGGGGTAACGGCTACTTCAAAATTGGTTTCTATTTAATATCAAGCAGATGTGATTTATAACCAGAAGTACTTAAAACTGTAGTGATATATGCAGCCATCGCCAGAAGCTATATAATTAGCATTTGAAAATCTGATCGAGTACGCCATGCACAAAGCTTAGAGAAATAGTCACTGGGCTTCGATTAGTTTCTATTTCTAATATCATACAGAGAGGATAAATCCTACAATCACTCCAAAGTAATTTTACGGCAATGTCGCTGAATTTTCTCGAATGAAGGAATTGAAGGTTTTCTACGTAAAATTCAAGTCACCTGAAGAATTGATGATATTCTAAGGAGAATCATGTCAATTGTGTTTTGGTAATAAAGAAGTTATGGAAGGGGACGACGTTAGCAGTAGCAATATTCAAGACAGATAGCTTTGATGAAAATGACTCGTAAGAAGCTAGTGAAAATTGCATGTTGGTAAATACCAACTAAACCGAAAATAACAGTCGTGTGAAAGGAGATGGAACCCCAACAATGCCCGGAGTTTCTATTCCTCTATATATTCCATACAATAGGATTGTGAGGACTCTTCCGAAATTCATTTCTTTATCTCTTTCGTTTATTTAGCACTAATCGGAAGCTTGAGCAGCTATTTAGTTCAGTTACAAAGGTTAGGCACATGAACGAACTATTAATGACATTGAGTCCACAGAAATTTTCTCTCAAGGGAAAGAAGGTGGAGGTGACAACTCAAGATTACTATATATCGTGGTTCTCTCGTTGTGTCGAGTGCTTTCTCTTTCCATGACTTCCTCTCTTTTGAAAGACATCTCTTTTGTCTTTCCCGATCACTATGCTTCGATTAAAGAAACTGCAATCAGTATAGTATAGTATGGGTGGTGTGGGGGATTCACTGAACCAGAGGGAAGTTGACCCCATTAGCAACTACTACTCGAACGTAGATTTCCTTGTCTCATGGACCCCTCAATCAGATTTTGCGAACGGAATATAAATACTGAGTATGCTCGTCAGTACACAAAGGTTTCTCGAGGTCAACCCGCTTATACGTAAAGGAACCGGAAGGATAAAGATTGAGCAATCTTCCAAACAACGACATTAGCATCACGTAGTTCACAAAGCTTGTATCTAGCAGCCAGGTCAGCAGCTCAAAGAAAGAAGAGGCACATTTTTTGTTGTAGTCATAGTATCACATTCATAGGAAACAATTTTTTGGTGGGTAAAAACCTCTTAAATTTCCCTTTCACTCGAAAGGGTATTTGATTCATTCAGATTCAACAAACAACAGAGGAATTTTTTTGGTATTTTGTACTTAGATCAACGATTACAAATGAAAGGACTACCTCTCACCTATTGTTTCTCGGCCAGCGAGTAAACAATCTTCTGAATCTATCCATGAACCATAACAACACTCTCACTCAACTCCAACCCTGGATTTCCCGTGAGAAACTTAAAGACGACGTCTCTATAATCTCCCTGTAACTGAATCACTTCACCCCAAGTCTCGTCTTCAACAATATTGCCCGCGCACGCGAGGGACTTCTTGAAGTGTTTAATGATCTTTTTCTTCTCGAACTTCTCGGGAAGTCCTTCGATGGTGGTGACCCAATGAGATTTTCTCTTTCCATCTTTACCGATCTTAGGTCGTCCTTGAGTTTGCTGAGCGCGAAAGTGAATCAGCTTGGCTTGTTTGAGATCGACTTCTTCTGCTTCCGCGAAGGGGTCGAAGAATTGGGGTTCATCGACTTGAGGTGAAATCTCTAAGTATGGGGTCTCGGGAAGCTGGGTGAGTTGGTTCTGGATCTGGACCTTGTTCTTCCTGGTCTTCTTGGTCTTGTTTCTAGTCTTGGCTCTGAAGACGTTGTCTTTGGGGACGCTAAGTTGTGACATGTTGAAGATTTTGTGGGGGAAGTTGGTGGATTAGCTGTGGTATGTTATGATGAGTAGATGAATCTATGAATGATGAGAATATTTCTTGAAAGTCTCGGAGAGCTGGCTTTTATAGAATTTATGAGACGTAATTCTGCAGTAGATTAAATATCAATGCTATTGTTCAATCAGATTTCCAAGATTGTTTTCTTTCTGTTGACAAGTTCCTTTGTCAAGCATGAGAATGAATTTCTCAAGGAAATTCCATCATGTGCCCATGATGAATTGCTATGAGAGATTAATCTCCTTTATCACCCACGCTATAGATTCGAAGGAAGCCTTGATATTTTTTGCTATATCCATAGAAAAGCACATTGAATTATTTGAGTTTGACTTGATGTAAAGATTTACGGAACCAAATAATGTGAGAACAGATATTGGCTTACCTAGCGAATTCTGAAATCCTACATCTCCAGGATCCATCAAGCAAAGCCAACTCAAATTCTGGAAATTCCAATACCCTTCCAACCCCGATATATAACTTGGAGTCTACGTTTCATATCATTCAGAGCCCCAAAATACAATTACTGCATCACCAAAATTGACAGCTGCGAAGTTACTCCCTACAGAATATCTCCAGATAAGCCCTTTTCAATCATCTCGCCCATCACTGTTGCTCAGTCGCAGCCGGACATCCACTAGAATGAACATAAAAAACTATGAGCTCCCTGAATCAATCGAGCCCCTTCAAGGATGAGTGGTGGGAGTGACGTAGCCTTCCGGTACAAACATGACCATGTCTTACAACCTGCGAGCTTGCGCGCACTACTCACGCCTTGCCTCCGGCAGAATATAGACGATGCTGTGGTAAAAAGCTCCTTGTGCCCAATAGAAACCAATTTATATGAATAACGCAATCTTATACGAGGTTCTAAACTTGTGTCTCTTGGAATTCTAATCATATTCACGTCCTACGGGAAATTGTAATCTCGCAACAAATGAGAAATCTAAACATAATACATCCTATCCGCTTCCTCTTGGATCTTTGATATGGCTTATGCTCCTGAAACAAATCTTTTGCATGGAAATCATTAGTAAATTGGTTATTCTTACGTCGATTGCACAAATCACCGGAGAATCAAGTAAGGTAAAACAAATTGTGTAGTCATGACTACCGACCCTGGCAGCAGCCCCGCCGAGCAATTTTTGGAAAGCAATTGGTAGAACAAGATTTGAATCTCACTCTTAGATCATACAAAACAGCTAGTATCAACCTTAAGCTTTTTGTTACATGAATATGCTCCCAACCCTGGTACCAACATTTTTCACCTACCCGTCACTCGGTTATCATGACCCCCTTTTTCTCCATCGGCTATCTTGTTAGCTTTGCCCACCCCCACCATATGTACACCGCTTTTGAGAATTCCCTAGTCTTCTTAGTAATTCCAGTCTATCTCTAGTTCCCGAGTGTCCCTGGATCCGACTTCTAGTCCGGTTCCATGCTAATAGTTAGTTAGTTTAGGTGCCAGAACAGAACCTCTATTCTCACCGCGTTCGGATGTGTATCGGCCCGTGAATTCCTCGACATACACTTGATCGACCTTTTCGATTGCCATTCCTTAATGTGATTCTATCTCTCATGGTATTACTAAATAAATGATCACAGGGCTTCTCATGTATTTGATATTCAAGCTTCACGTCCAGAAATTCCTTCAGCATGAGACATCTGTAAACCTTCCTGATCTGTCCTAAGGCAAACTCAAAAATTAAAAAATTAGAGGAAGGGTAGTCATTCATCCAGTGTCACTGATTTGGACGCAGATCTATGCGCGTTATTCCGGCTGTACAATGTAAATGACTTGGAGATGAAGACTTGTGGATTCTGGCATTTGAATTGTAAAAGAGGGATCAAAATTTTGAATCATAATAATCGAAAATAATGACGAAAGCGTGAACTGAAATACTATACTCATAAACAATTTGATCCTTCTAGCTCCATACAAACATCCATAACTTTATGAAGTAACCCCTTCATCAACCGACATCTACGTCCCAAATTTCCAACATCATAGAAGACTATTGTGATTTCATGCCATGCGAATCGAGTCCTATAAACTATTCCTTTTAGCTAAGATATACTTCCACACCCTCCATTCGGGATCTCAAATTTGGGGCTCATCTGTACTCACATGCTTTCCTATCCTACTAAGTTCTTACAATACTTGCCACAGCGTGTATGAATTTAATTAACTCACTCCTCTCAATTCTCCATTCCCATCTCCCCATTCACATCAACCTCGGAGCCCAAAGAAAGGGTACTATCGCAAAACTAAGAGAGGTAGTAATAAAGAAGGCCTGTCAATACTAAGCTCTTCGTTATGTGTATTGTAGCTTCGGTGCTAAGGTGAGATGAGCTTGGAATTCCAAGAGAAAAATACGGTATACTCATCATATCAACCACACTCATATTGGCAAAATGGGAGAAGAGAAACATGAATACTGCATCTTAATTACAGACAATAATATCCCATATCATCGTACATCATTCCACCTGTGATCTTATCATCATTCCCAACACATAAACCATTGGAACCACCGTTCTTCCCATCCCGCTCTGCCAGTAACCTCACCACCCAGTTGATTTATTCACAATACGAATTCAATGTTATGTATACCTTTCTGCTCTTCGGAAATGTAATTCAACATACACATCCACTGCACAACCCAAGGATGAACTTTAGCCCCTCCCTTGTTTCTGATCTCACCACTAACCCTGAACTTGCAAGAACTAATTTTATACTTTCTAGCTCACGCACACAGCGTGCTTATATTCGACTCCCAAATCATTAATGAAAACGCTTAATGTTATACATGTGCAATAGGAGGACAGCTTCGAAAACGCCCAACTCTCCATCTCATCCTACCTCATCACAATCCATCGAATCGCATTATAGCACCTTATCACAATATTGAGAACAAGTACAGATATAAACCAATTTATTAATGAAACTAGCCTCCCCTAGCGCGGTGCAAATGCCGCCAACGCCCAGGCGCCAACCAGCCGCCACTATAAAATAAACCAGATATGACAAGCGGTCGAGCTTTCATTGGTATGCAACTACCATCCATCCATCCATATCCATACCCATAGCACGCCACCCAATCATTATTTCGTATCTTCACCAATCCATCACCCCCTTCACTTCCTTTCCCTGAAGCATTCCAACCTAACCACAATAATCCATCACAGAATTTTCACCAAGAAGAAGAATATACAAGCACCAAACCAAACCAGCCCCAAGAGCCTACTACCCATTCCCCTCCAATTGAATCCCTTCGAGACATAGGATTAACGACCATACCCTCCCCCTCCCATTTTATCGATACTACTCAATAAATTGCTACTAGTTCTGCCCGAAAGTCCACTACCCGGTCTACTGCCTTGACTAGCCACACTCCCATGACTTCCTTTTCTCTCCCTTCCAGCCGCACCTCCGATTCCCATTCCCATTCCCATCCCAATTCCACCCCTGCCAATCCTACTTCCTCCAGCCGCACTTGGCGCTCTCAACCCACTTGGTCGAGTAACACTACTTGTTTTTGCTAAAGTAGGGCTCTTCATTTGGCTTTCAAAAACAAGTTGTTTCTTTTGCGAGGCGGGTGTTTCTGGGATCGGAGATGCTCGAGCTGGAACGGCCTTCTTTTCCTCCTCAAGATTTTTTGCAACCATATCGTCGAACATTGCGATCATTGGAATCATTTCATCAACAGCCTGAACCAGCTTAGTCTTCTCGGCTCTTTCCTCTTCAAGCATATGTCGGAGGTCATCGTTGTCTTCCCTGACACTCCTAATTTCCATGCCTAGGCCCTCGAGTTCTGCCTCCAATTCCTTGGTTCTAGCATCGCGTGCTGCTTGTTGTTCAATATCCTCAGCCGAAGGTTCCGCTTTAGTTGCTGTGGTATTGCCGCCCAACCTCAATTCTTCGTTCTCCTTGGTGAGATCCTCAACAGTAGCTTCCAATTCTTTAACCTTCTTATCCCAACGACGTTCATAGCTTTTCTTGAGAGCTTGGACTTTAGTTTCGTGCTTCTCTTTGTAAAGGGAATGTAACTCTCTGGATACCTTCTCGACCGCAAGTTCGACAGTTCGACCTCCGCAGTGGCATTCTGTTGGCGATTTCAAAGGCGTTTCGACAGGGGGTGAAGTAGCTCCAGGTGTAGCTTTTCCTGCACGCACAGCTGCTAAGTTCCTCTGCGCTTCTTGAGCCATAATCTCAGCCATTTCTCTTCTTCTCTCACTTTCCTCCAATCGACCATCCAACTCCTCACGTTCTTGCTCTGTTTGAACCATTTCTTCTCTAACATTCCTCAACACAGCTTCCATTTCCCGACCTCTCTTCTCCCACTCCTCTTTCTCGGCCGCCAGTTGATCTTGTATATTTCGTTCTTCTCGTAATTGTTCCTGACTCTCCCCAACTCTCTTTTCCGCGTCGCCAACGGCCGTTTTCATGAACTGCAATTCAGCTTCCTTTCCGCTCAACGTAGCTTTCAAGTTACTAATCTCCGATAAGAAGTCTGATTTCAATCTCTCGATTTCTCTAGGTGTAATGGAGGGTAAACTTCTAGGCGTAGGCGCAGGAGGAATATCGAAATCGAGCAAGTTGCTCATGCGGTTTGATTTAGGTGTCGCGGCAGTACTTGGCCCATACCAATGTTCAGGTGCAGAAGTTTTTGAAGGTGACATTGACATCCTATTCCTTGAAGGTGAGGGACCGCGACCGTTGAACCCATTCATTTGTGCGGTAAAGTCAAGAAGGTTAGTGGTATTCCCATCATCTTTGCTTTTAACATTTCTATGCCCGTATGGTGCTGGCGAAAATTCCTCAGATGTATTCACTTGCCTGCGCGCCGTAGCCGGGGTACTGAATCGATGATTTTGTCTCGGTGTTGGTGCACCCATTGATGGGAAGTTCGGGCTGGTATGTCCCAGCTTTGAAAACGTTGTTAGATCTGGCATAGCGGAAAATTCGCTGAATGTGCTGACCATTGTATCGTCCATCAAATTGTGCGCATCTTTCTCTGAAGCGCTAGTAGCGCTACCAGTACCTATATATGCAAAAGTTTCGTTCATCGTTTGCCCCTCTTCGTTATCATTATCATCATCGTCTTCTTCCAATATCTCGATCGCTTTCGTAAGTCCTTCATTATCCCTTAGTATTGGGTCATCTAGATCCATTTCATGCTCAACGACGACCGGCGGGTCAAGCGATTTCAGAGGCGAAGGTGTGGCAGTCGTAGGCTTCACAGGAAATCTCATGGGTGTCGACATCTTCCTCGGACTGCGTGTGCCATCCGATGATTTGGTGGGTGAAGCCTGGCTCTTCAATAGCTTCAAGGGTGACATATGTTCTCCATCAATTGATTTCCTTGACGTCAACATTTGTTTCCTAATAGGAGAGATATTCTCCTTACTCGGATCTGTCGCATCGTGTGTCGCATCGACGAAGGGCGAACTTGGTGGACTCCCCACGCTCCCACTCATGGGAGTGTTTTCTGTAAAGCTGGTATCTTCAGACATGGTGTAGTTTGTATTGCTAACAACTGATGGGCTTCCAGTATTGATATTTGCGCTGGATAAATCCGAAAGGGGCTCCGCCATTTGCTAACTCTCTTTGTTCGTGATTGTGATAGTGTATCTTTTGAGTCAGTGGTCATGTAATGTTTGAGATATTGTGTGGTGGTGGATAAACCTTTTCGTATGATGTGTTGTGAATGGTGGATTTTTCTGTTTACGGGGCAACGTGCATCGGTAAACTATTCGCCGTTCCGATATTTGGGATGATTGAATCTACCATTTCTACTTTCAGAATGGACAATCAAAATTGTCAATAACTTCAAACCTTATATGTTGTCGGAACTCATCTATTGAGTGACTTCAATAGGTGAACGATTGTGTTTTGAATGAATTTAGATATATCAATTTTGGTTACAAATAGATGATACTAGGCCATAGATTCAAGGAACCATCGTCACCGCCTTCGTTCTCGACATTCGAGTGCTTCTCTCTCAGTGAGAGACAGTCTTAGATCTGAAGAGACCCAGATACTTCACTCCAAATAAATTGGATGCTTGTATGAGGGTGATGAGAAAAATGTCATCGTCAAGCACATTCTTGCCGTTCTTTGAAAGTGCATCACTCAAACATGCATGACAAGACAGTATGATGAAGGTGGATGTGATTGATGTTTCTTAATTACTGTGATATCAAATTATGTCATGGTACAGCCTTTTCCAGAATCTCACCAAACGCCTCTAGACCTCCCAAATGATATTTCCTATTCCCATCGCAGATGCTATGCAGCCACCCAGAATGCACCTCGATTCCTAGCACAACGCCGTAGAAGCAAGCAGACGCCGAATATGGCATCCATGCCATATATATAGATACATCATACACACCATATGCATTGACCTCAATGACATACCTCTCAAGACTCAAAAACTAGACTTGAGCCAAAAAAGTTTGGGAAGCATGAACAATTCGCTTGCCCACTCGGTGTCCTTAGCGTCAATTGTTAATCTACGTCGGCATTGGCCGTATTCTTGAACATGCCATAAACGCTCCGCTGGCCTTTCGGAGCTACCTTCAGATTCGAGAACCGCGTCTCGGAAAGTCTCTTTCCTGCCTTAATACTTTCTAACACCCTGTATTTGCCAGAAATGTTAGTATGAATATGCAAACAGGGGATACCGGAAGGCCCATACCATTCTACACCGACATATTTAACTCCACAACCACCAATCCTTCGTATCTCTTTCTCCAACTTTCCCCCAGCTAAACCACCTCCAGCTCCACTTCCTACAGCAGAGGGTTTGCCCAAGATAACGTGGGTGACTCGTCGCCTGCCCAGATGCATCGACATTCGTGCTCCATTCTCTGCCAGCAACTGCTTGAGCTTGTGGTCCGAGACCATTGGATATGTACTACCGTTTATGTAGATGACCAGCTCATCAAAGATGCCTCTAGACTTTCGGGCTAGATCGTCCTCTTCCACTTTAGTTTCATCTTCGAGTTTCCGCATCTCCATCAGTCGTTCTTCGGCGCTCATCGGCACTAAATGGGAAAGACAAGCATCAATAAAGTATATTTGGTAGCATCGGACAGGGAATTTGAAAGGGACAACAAAACATACAGCCTGGCTTCCCCACTAACATGTCGCTGACACTTCGTCTTGCCCTTGCCTTGACTTCTTTTGGAATCAAGGCGTTCGCTTTCTCATCCCAGTCTTCAGATCCTGCCCCAACTTTGTCGGAGATCCTTTTGCCACCTGTACCACCAGACTTGAACTGGTGGCCTAGCTTCGATGCTCGAGATTCTCTCCATCCTGTAGAACCACCTATCTTATTCTCTGCCCGTTGGTGCCCTGTCGCTGATGAATTCCACGCGTCGAAATGGGCACCAAATACTGGTTTTGCCGCCGGTGGTATTTGCGGTTTTGGGGGTGCCATGCTTGTTTTCTCGTAAAAGATTGTAGATCAGGCTATTGTTGAGCCTATACTTGCTTGCCTGTATCCTTTCCGTAAAGTTTGCGAGTCCAAGAGATTCAGGGATCATGATAATCTATTCAAACAAAGAAATATCGCACTTTATTCGTTGCCATGTCGAATATCAAGCCCATACGGTTAGTCGGTAGTATTTTAGAATCGAGATATATTGGCCGTACAGTTCATGCTATCCACACATCCATTCGTCGTTGATTTTGACTTCCAAACGCGGGATGTCAAGGAAAACACTAACAAGCGCGAATGCGTTGATACAGTTACAGAAGGCGCGCCCAAAACGCCTGATCACGTGAACCACCCCATTGATAGACTGGCTAGATCTCTACAATCTAGGAATCAATTAGCCCCCAATCCAGTCTCAAGACAACAACCTCCCTTCTTCCGAAACCAGTTCATCACTTCAAGTAAAAGCCATGTACTCTGTCTCTCTCACCAAATTCGCACAAGAAAATCTTATTCTCCGATATCTCCATTCAAGGACTACAGTAACTTCGAAGTTTCGAACGGATACGGGATGATTGATGGGTGATCACATCATGTTTTGAAAAATGAATGAAAAATTTATTAGTTGATGTGTATGGTGTTCATCAAAATTCAAGGTTGAGCGAGAACCAGTCATACCCTAGGAAGAAACATCCCCGATCATGCATTTCAATCCGATGATTCCTTCAAATTTCAATATCATCCGATGCCTCCAAATTCTCCCCCTCTTCATCTCGAAATCCTTGGTTGAGCAAGGCAAAAGAGCTTCCGAAATTCCTTCAAATGGATGTTTCAATACGGTTACTAATTTGAATTTCGAATTTGACATCTCTTTCATTTGGTCTTTGCTTTGCCACTTCCTTTGCCCTTCCAAATCTTTTCATTAAAACATATCTTGGTTACATGAAGGAGGCACTGGGATAAGGAGGGCATAGCATAGGATATGCAAGCAGCAAGTACCCGTTCGCCTCGCCTCGCCTCGCAGAACAGCAGCCGGCTTGATGCACGATCGTTACAGTACAGTGCCTACTGTACTCTCCATGTAATTTGAAAGCTGCAACTATGTCGTGCGTCTTTTTATTCATTCCTCAGATGGATGGCTGGTGCGTCCTTCAGAAAAAGCCGAAATACGAAAAGTGCCCAATCGTGCATTTCCCAGTTCTGCAAGTTCCTATTTCCATTCAGTGCAATCAAGTGAGTGGCGTGCGTAGTTGGCTTCCTCACATGCCTTTTCCATCCTGCGTGCCGCGTCTGCTCTTTATTTACATACATGTTTTGTACTTCCATCTTTGAATTTAACAGCCGTTTTCCGGTCATTAGCAAACATCACCTCTATCAACAACACCCTGTTAACTCTTTTTCTACCGGTTGATAGTGTAATCATATTCTGGATGAGCCGCTATTGGGGTTATACAAAACACCTAGTTCATTTAAAAAATTATGCGCGAGCAATATACATCAATCCTAGAATTGCATCTTTTGGGACACGAGGGTTGTACCAAATTGGGGGTTGAGTCCGAGAGGTCAAAATGTGCACATCTTTCCAACCATGTGAGGGTCACGAGAACATTTACGGATTGACATGGCGAGTCTGGACTGATGTATGTATGTAGGTATGTATGTATGTATGGCGCGGGTTGGTTTGAGGTTTTAGGGTCATGACATGGGAACGGATACTCCCGTTTTCGCGGACATATCTTTCCTTTCACCACTGTAAGATGCAAGTACCACTCCCTTCAACGTCCTTCCCATGTGAAGTTCTTGGTACTTACATATGGAGTATCTCCGAATGGTTTTGTTGGGGTTAGAAGGATATTACCCTGCGAGGGTAAGCACGTACTGGGTCTTGGGGAATTACAATATATTGATACCATATTAAGGCTATATTTGATTTTGATTGTTTTGATCGACTGCGTGTCAGCAGCGTTGGGGTTTGTGTTTTTTTTTCCTATTTGCAACCGGTTCTCGGGCTCAATGTGTGTACTTTCATAACTTTTTGTATAAAAATTCTGGTCTCTTTCCTTCTTTGTTTTCACTTCAGCCCTTGTCTATAACCCCATGAAACTAAAGTTTCATGGGTATCTAGAAGCTGACATACAATCAAGCGTGGTGCTTCGATGTCCAAAACGTCCTTCCCAATTCCCGTAAGATTTGGATGTCTTGTTATTATCGTACTAGAACTATCTCTGGTTGTTGGACCAGAGTAGCGAGATAAGAAAATAGCCCTTCCCAGTTTCCCAGTCACCATATCAAGATCGGGACAAAAAATCGACCTAGTCGTATTCCAAATTCAAAGCCGTCAATTGGATGCCCCAAAGAATCCATCAGTCATCGATAACGATAGCACAATGAAAAAAAAAGTCGTTTTTCCAAGGTTCGTTGTCGCTAGAGCGAGAACCCCTCATTCGCCCTCTCTACAAAAAGGCGGTGTAGAAGACGCTAAGAGACGCCATCCACCTCATTCTGATCGCCAACACAAGAGAAAAGGGAAAGAAAAATTAAACGGCCTTTTCTCCGTCCCCCGCTAACGTTAGCACTCTTTTGCTTCTGAAAAGAAAAGAATAAATTAATCAATTCTCTTGACGGTTTTTCCACTAGACCTAGATCAATAATATCTTGCGATAGTATAGTTCGTTGAATGATGAGATGTTGGATGTGGATTCTTATCGTACCGTAGCTATTAATGACTTTTTAATCAACACTCAATCATGAACCATACACAATGAGGAATTCCTCTCCCCCAGGGATGAATTCTGGCGTCTAGGGTTCAAGCTTCGTCCTATGATTCCCCTTCTCGCCAAGAATTTATACGCTCAGCGCGGTGCAGCAGCGTAGTGTAGTGCGTAGTCCCATCATCAAGCTAGGCTGTTGATCTATACCACATCGACATTCTAGTTTCGGCGGGCAAATGTCAACATCGTACGTATGTAATATGTATATACATACTCCGTCGTGATAGTCTAAGCTTTTTGCACGATCCAGCACCTACTCCGTATGCATGCACAACAACTGTCCCCTACGTACACTGTAAACTTGCATCCATCGCCAGCATCCAGATCCCACACATTGCAAATCTCGAACTTTACTCAGACTCACGAAAATGCTCAAATCAAGTGGCTTCCCCTCTTTTCGAGACTCTACTTTCATTACTCATTTTGTCCTACCCCCCACCTTACGCTCCCAGATCAATCTTTTCTCATCATCATCATGCGAATATGAACAACATCCCAAAACCCCCTCAACGAGTGTCGATCCCAGAAATTAGAACAAACCTTTCCTCCCCTCTAGACTCGCGGATAGGCTCTAAGGCTACGGAGTATGAAAAATAACTCGCTCTCGTCCTCGCTTTGAACAACGTTACCCCAATCACCATCCACCACGTCGTAGACCGAGCTTTTTTCGCTCCTCTCGCCTTCCATCCATGATCATCCCTAGTCTTTTCTTATTTCCTCCAGACAGAAAACACAAACCAAAAAGCCTTCCCCCAAGACCACAATAAATCCCGCACCAGTCCCAAAGAAGCAGTACTTCCTACTCGGTGACACGCTTTGGGAACGCCTCGCTTCGGGATTTTCACCATGGGGCTTGCGCTAGCGCATCTTTGGGCTTGCTGCTTCTCGATGTTGTGCGTTTCTCGTTACATACAGACCATAATCGTGTCGGATGAATTGATTGGAGACAAGCAGGCCAAGAACGACACCGGACAGGGATTCTGAAAATGGTGTAAGACGGACCGTTTTCCGCGTGTGCAGAAAAGTGAAAAAGGGGACTAGCCTTATGGAGTGTGGTGGTTATGGGAGGAGAGAATAAGGTAGGTAGGTACGTATGTGCGATGAATTAAGGATTTTCCAGTTTTGCGCAATGGGTCAAGGGGAATTGTTCCTTGTTTACTGGGCTTCTGTATTCACGGGCGAAGATTGGAAATGGTTCAAAGTTGCAAAGTAATTGAATCACGAAGAAAGATTCTCAAACAGAGACATACCAGATAATGCTCGATGACACCCGTCGCGATAAGCATCCAACAAGCAGTATTAAGTTTCCCCTCCTTCCTCCGTTCATCTCATCCAACAAGGATAGCCATACTAGCATACTGCGCACAAAAACTCTGCAGGGTCTGATGCCGAAATTTTCTGGTGGCCCTTGCCTTCATAACACTTGCATCCTGCATGCGCAGCGGCTGCTCACAGGCTGCTGCACGGAGACTGGGGGAAGAAAAAAGGTAAAACGGAGCCAATTGGATGCGGAGCAAGGCGGCTGGGATCGTGTTCGCGAGAGGCGGTGAAAAGAAGTTCATGGGTATACGTGGGTCACGTATTGCCAATGGATTCTGGATAGTCTATACAAAGAATTGAAAGTGTAAGACAACGTGACTCGTAAGTTTTACACTGATACCAGTATGGATCGGAATCCAGAATCCAGAGTCCCGAAATTTATCTTTTGGATTCATATCGGTTTGGCGCCATTGAGTTTTCACATGCGGTCCGAATGATCCATCCCAATTGAGTAAATTCTGATGGTGCAATTTGGATCACTCTTCCTCCCCATCTGCATAAAATTTCCAGTTCATTGTACAACATAAAATCACATCATAGCATGGCATACAATACCTGTCTCGGAGAGCCGCATTGTTCCATTAACCAGCAGACATAACCGACTGTTGTAGAACTGCTCTTACAGAAGTGAAAAGATCTCCATCGTCTGCCTCCGCAAATCGGCGGGTCCATGGATTTGCGATGTGTACATACACACATACATACATACAGAGTACATGAAGATAAATCTTTAGAGATAAATAGATCGACATCATTTTACGCAAGAATTGCCCAAAAAAGATCAAGCTGTCCGTAATTGATCAAACCTTAAGAATCAAGATCTAGATATCGATACGCATGTATGCGTGATGACGCAAGTAAGCTGGGAAGCTTCGTTTGGTCTCGTCTCATAGAGTTGAAAGCACATGATAAGTTTCTCCAAACAATTGATGAATGAAACCCATTATGAGTAAAAAAACCCATGACTACAGATACAAAAAGTTCTAGTAACGGTATCGTATGCTGTGCACTATTTTCGCACCGTTCCTTGCGTCGGGGTCGCGGAAGGCTGGCTGGCTGACTGGCCTCCCAACTTCGAGATCTCACCATTTCCTTCTCACCGTGTGGAAATGTGATACAAAATTGATTTCATATCTCTCCGATGACTCTTTTAAATTCGAGGCGGATTGACAATATGAAAATGTTGGCTGGGAGGAAACATGGCCAACTTCGAGACTGGCAAGGTGCTCGTTCCACCAGTCTCCTTCGTCCACGATTGTATTATCGAGATGAAGTGTGACGAGGTTCCTGGGTCACGACTCACGAGCTCGAAAACCCTAGATGTCATCTTGAGCTTTGAGACAGCATCCCCACCCTTTGAATATTCATCCAACAGAACATGTCCTTGGGGCTTCGATTCAAGTCAGCGCGTGTGTTGCCGATTCGTTCCCGATATTAAAATGATAACACTTTCATCATGATGTCTGCTGTCTAGAGATGGAATGCATTCAATTTTGGATAGACAATTAATATGAAAGGAATCTAGAATCTCACCTGCAACCCTGACTCGCGCATGTCGGTACATGGATTGTTGGTTGTTGTAACTTGTAAGCAAACAAAGTGCAATCTGGAAGTAAGCCGTGTCAGAGGTTCCATTGCCAATGCGAATCAATGTAGGTATGTATGTATGATTTTGTTTGAAGCATGCAGCTTTACCATCTCCCATCTTTCGGATTATCTGTTGAGGAAAGAATCTTCCTATGCATACACTGGCATGGCAGCTTGAGCCTCTTCAATTGCTAGATTCATTGTGACCAAGCGTAACTTCTCACGAGAGAAGCAGAGAAGAAGGGAGTTCCCTTTCACATCGGAAGGAACCCTGCGTCCAACATGCTTGCTCTGAAGCCTGTCATTGTAGCATATGTATACTAGTAAGGATGGAACAGGGCAGCATCTTTATTATCGCAAAGACCACTCGTTTTTGAATGACACCGATGACCGTTTAATTCGGCCATTGTTCCGGCTTCAGGTGTAATTCACCAACCTTGTTGTTGACCATGAAAACCTTGCTCTTGAGTCTTGGAAGATGACAAGACCAAGGACATCGAATTGCCCATTTGGGTGCACGCTGTGTTACATTACTAATGGGGAAACCGGATGGCATCCCCATCCTTGCAGAGACAGGTTGATGAATAGGTAATATCGCCGTCAATTTAATGTAGCCTGTCGGCATCGTTGGAGAATAGATAGAGTATGATCATACTATCATGTTGTTGTCTATGTGAAATTAGTAGATGATCCGAACGACTACATTACTCGGTACTGATGAACGGGTTACAACCCGGTTTACAGAGTTCCCAGATAGAGTAACTTACGGCTGTTCTCAGTTCCTTGGCGTCGAGACCTTCTTCTCAACAAGTTGACAACACCTGGGCAGTATTTGATACATCTAATTCAGGATAGAGAAATAAAAGCTGGTGATAAAGTGGCGGGAAAAAGAGCCGAAGGCGTGATATGTGGATGTTTCCAAAGTGGCAGGAGGAAAGTTACAATGGATGCTGCTTTAAACCTCAATTTCCTTGCTATGAGATACTTTACTGGCTTGATAGAACGGCTCCCTTCATCTAGACTTCCCTATTGCCTCAAAAGATCCCTTTGGATAATCTTCTATTCAAGGAGAGGATTAATTTGTGGTTGGTGGTTCCATAGATTGCCGTTGAGTTACTATATTGATAATTAATCAATATCACTCTCCAAGTATGAGACTGTCAATCACCTCAATAATCAATAATTACCACCCTCCTACCTTGTTATCACATTAGGGATACAACTCCTCTTTTCCCCTCTTCATCTATTGACAATTGAGACGCCCCACCGTCTACCCGGTTGAGAACCTTAAGAACCTTGAGGATATACTATCATGTTTAAGCCGCTTTGAAAGAAGGATGCTACTTTGTGCAAGCCGCAATCGTTACGAAGAGATGGTCCGGGAGCCGAGGCTGATATCGAAATTCTCCCGTACTTCCTTTTCCACTAATAGTCTAAATCTTAGGGTCTCCCTCCTAGCAACGGAAACTAGGGGATGAATATATCCCATGAGTCGTAAAAACGAATTCCCGTGGCGCAAGGTCAAGCTGAAGCTAGCTATTTTAGTGATCCCAACCAAATCCAAGGCTCGCTCCGATCAGTCCGTGAATTATCGGACATTCTCGTTAGGGACGATCAATCACGAAGGGTTAGGTAATTAACGCACATGGAACTGGTGAACCGATAAACGCATCGCATTATCTACGAGAGATTTATACGGAAGACGGAAGACGGAATATTATTAACGGAGCATACCACCGAGTAGTCTAGACAGTCTCAACGAGCTCAATAGAAATAATGATACTCAGATACTGTATGATCAAGGACTTGTAGGAGAATAGGATATGATGAAAAGGCTGGAAAAAGTCCGAGAACCAGCGGATCAGAAAAGTAGAATGTAGTGCTCACGAGGCGTTCGAAGCTAGATATGCGATCGCGCTGGTGGCAGATCTGGCAATGTCGTGATGAGGAACGGAAGATTCTCATATGTTATGCAAAGAAGACGGCGGTTAGAACTAGTTCAGCGGCTCGTGTATATCTAATCGGTAGATACGGACGGAGGTGAGAAGTTAGAGCAGATACTAGGGAGGTAAATAAAATTAGTAAAATTAGGACTGTATGGATATACTCTGTCCAGACTCGACAGAGTATCAATGCTTGGTCTCATCAGATGCTAATACTAAAAAGGTCACGGGGTTACGTTACATAATTTCACTGTTATTAGCTAGGTAGGGAGTATTTGTCAATGCCATGCCATGCTATGCCGGCAATACCATTGATCTCCCATCTGTGCATATGTGCCACTGTGTGGTGGTGGTCCTCGATGGTGTGTTGCTGTGCACTGGTGACTGGTGTTGCCTTCACATCCACGAGATATTGTATGATCCAAGCTCAAGCTCCAACTTCCAAGCAGGTTGGAAGCTCCAGCGATTCTGCCTTCAAGGTAGACCGTAGTAAAAAAAGGGGGACGGGATCAAAGAGAAACGATATGCAAAAGCAGGAGATCCCGTCGTGCAGGCGGAACAAGCTTGTAGAGTGCATCGCAGTAACCTACCGAACCCTTTCCCTCCCATCGCAGCGATCAAGCTTGAAAGAATCAAGCCCGGCCACCGCACAGGACACACGTCGGACAATTGGATGAGCATGAAGCATGAGCCATTTGTGTGAAGGATAAGCATGATGAGCATGAGCACCAGCATGAGCATGAGCATCAGCATAAAATTTCCGATAGGAATTTTTCATCACTTTCCTTACTCCGTACATCTCGCTCCCGGAAATGTGCAGAAGGCAGAATCTGTGCAGAATTGGGGCACGGTGCTTTCGTTCTGAATGAAAAAGTCTGGAGTGCATTTCGGCCCCTCCAAGACAGGAATAGTTGCCAGGGCTCAGCTCAATTTTAACTTTTCTTGCGCGGCAGCAAGGTGTAGGTGTGTACAGTGAGTGTAGTGTGTGTAGTGTGTGGTGTATTATGTGGTTGGATGTTGAGGGTTGGGGGATATGGGTTATGGGTTGGGGGATGTTTGAGAAAGGGCAACGGCAAGATACAATAAGTAAACAGGATGTCTTCATTTAGCTACGGAAAGAGACGTCTACGTCGCCGCCGCCGCCAGGAGGGAAAACGTCGCAGCAGGTAATGCGATGCAGGCTTGATCGGTAAGGCAAGGTTCAAATGCAAAGAAGAATGCTTGGAGTGAGCTTGGATGGCGGTTGAAGAAAGTTAATTCCCTGGTCAAGATTGAATACGGTATGGTATGCGAGATCCATTCGTCAAGCAAGATCATCCATCATAATCCGGATGTAGGAATCGACAGAAGAGAAGGAACGGGCTCGCCACTTTCGCCAGCATCCATGTACCGGTATTAATCTGATTTGATTTGATTTGATTTGATTCAATTTCAATTTCAATTCAATTGTGAACCATCAAGAAAGATGCCCCACCAGTAGATACTCGCATCAGATCATCATCACCTTCATCATCACCATCGCTGTTCCGTCTTTCCTTGGTTCACGCGGCTTACCATTGTCCTGGCCACTTTTTTTCATCTTCTTTTTTCGTTTTGAAAGGTTTCGTCTAGGATTTGGAAGAACAGATCAGCTACCGTAGAAGGCGAAGATCCGAAGGTATCCTGTGTATGCTTAAAGCAGCCTTTCTTCGCATCCGAATTCGAACATGTCTTTCATGCAATTCATTACTGTGTCAGTGTAGGTACGCAGATAGATAGGTAGACATCGATATTTCATATTCTGATCTGATTCCCTTTGGGATTCGGAAGAATTCGAGAGCAATTCACGTTTACATTCATACGAAGTATTCACATTCACATTCACCACCAGGAGAATAGACTTGAACACCATTACTGCCCCTTCATCGGTATCAAGGTAAAACAATACCCACGACAACACCACACACATCACACCATCTTCTCAACACAAGCATCGGAAGGAGAAAGTAAAAATAACTCTTCCTCTCCCTCTCCCTCTCCCTCGTCCTCGTCCACCCTCACATTCATTTCATCCAGTTAATTGATCACCATTGATAATTTGGAACCGGAACGGCTGCTATCACTATCACCCAATCATTACTGGCCCGTCAGCGATTATATATTAAAAACCCTCGTTTCAATTCACACTTGTTTATTTTCCTTTCTTTTTTTCTCTCAATTGAGAACCAGCCAGCCTTTCCCAAACCCTTGTATTTAGTAGGTATCCATTGTTTTCAAGCGGCCAGAACTCAAGGGCCACGGTCACGGCCACTCTGCGACTCTGCCACTTTTGATGGATGGATTGGCCCCATACTGCCACCTCGCATTTTGGGTCCGTTCATTGTTTTGTTGTTCTGTTGTTTTTATCATTTTCTCTGGTCAAGTCCGTGATGGATTTAGTCCTCGATAGGTCAAAGGTGCCATGTACTCCGTACGTAGAGCAGACGACGGTAGGGATTAAGAGGTATCACGTTCACATCTTCGAGATACCCCACGATACAAGTAGAATACAACCAACGCAGCAAAATAGAGTGAAAAGTACAACAACACCAAGCACTACGAGTAACCATGATTAATGTACCTAGGGATTGAAGAAAGAGCTGGATGGTGCTGAGTCGGTATTCTGGGGTGTCACATGTATGCAGGTTTGGAGTATCAAAATAAGAATTCGTATTGTCAAATGTTTTGTATTCTTCACGAGGTATTCGAAGGGAGGTTCAAGATGGTATGATACGGTGCCGGTATCGTATGTATAATTGAACCACTTGCTGGCTTGTCACTCCGTCACCTCACTCAGTCAAATCAGTCAACTCAGTCAACTCACTCACTCACTCACTCACTCACTCACCTGTTACTTCTCTTCTTCTTCTTCTTCTTCCTCTTCTAATTCGGTCGGACCAATCCTCGCACCCTTCGTTTAGAGTAACAACCATTGTGCTGTCCAACCACCCCAGTTTTTGTACAAGGGTTAAGAATTGGCGCGATTTACTACGGGATGGATGGATGCGAAGGAAAGAAAGAAAAAAAAAAGCTTTGATCTTTCGGAGGAGCGACGCAGCCCATGAGATAGATGATAGATCGACTAGGTACGACTAGGTAGTAAGTACGACTAGGGAAACAACTACTACCCAACTAAGAAACTCTAATGCTCACGCTAATTTAGCGACATGGCAGAAAACGAGAAATGATTTTATTTTCTCTGCAATTGATTATCAATGTTTTACAAGGAAGGCTGGTCAGGTAAGGTTGTAGTTATCGCCTCTTGGATCCTCGAGTGAAGCTTGGCAAAGAGGAGAAGAGAGAGTCGTGAAGTGAAGGGAAGGGAAAGAAATGGAAAGAAAAATGATATCTCTTATGCAAAGGTTAAACTAAAAGTGGAAACGATCGATTCCGTGAAGTATGATATGATGGAGCCGTGAGAATCAGAATTAGCATTGGAATTGGAATTGGAATTGGAATTGGAATTGGAATTGGATGAGAGTCAGATTGTCCTTCATTCCTGTAGACCAGAATAACCCACGGAGATGACACTAGATCATGTCACATCTATCATCTAGGAATAATAAACATCATATAACATATAACAAGCGTCTGTGAATTCTACATGTTGGGCTGTAATCTCAAGCGTCACTTCATTCTCGAGAGTCCATCGCATCAAGCAAAATTAAACTTCACTCTACAGTAGCGCATTCGGTTCTTCCGACGTCCGTATAGAAAAGTCCTATTTTAGCGCAAGATATTTGGGCTCTGTGGTGTTCACATATTCACAGATTCACACGTCCACCACCCTTCTTAGCTTCATTCCGGGATCGCTACGGCCTCAAACATCCACTTTCGAAAGTACCCCGTCCAGTCCAGTCAGCCAGGCCAGATCCAACGTTTACACCAAAGGGCAGAAAATGCTGAGAGTCTGAGACTTGGAAAAAGAGAGAGAAAAAGAGGGAGAGAAGGGCAGTATTGTATCACCCAATTGAACTGCGAAGAGCGTGGGGAAGAGAGGGAGACCACATCGAAGAAAGGGAACCTCAGAACTCCGAACTCACAACGCAAAACTCCTCACCAAAAGAGAGAGAGAAGAATCAACAAGTCCAAACTGCAACTCCACCCTTCACTCCACAAATCAAGAGAAGAGAAACAAGTTGAAGACGTTCTCCACTATCACTATCATTATCATTATCACTCTCATCATTATCTTACCATCAGGTCCACCCAGACATCGAACACTTTATTACTCCGTTTTGTACGCCAGGTTTCTTTTCATAACCCTTCATAACCATTCCACCCGCACGCTTCCACTCTTCCTTACCGTACTACACACCCAAACATTGCATCGCCTACCAGGACCAGCGAGACAAGGCACAGAAGGGAAAATAGAAGAAGAGACAAAGGCACACGCAGAACAAGAGAACAAGAAGAACATTGTTCTTGTGTTGAATCTCTGGACGCTTTTATTGACTGTCTATCTATCTATCGACATTGAAGATTATCTATTTACATTATCCTCCTCCTCCTCCTCTTCAATCATCTATCTATTCATCTATTTGTCTATCTATCTATCATCTACTATCTACTATCTACCTCCCCTCATCATCATCCACGACTAATTAGATAAACTACTTCTCCATCTTGGGTGGTTTTATCTAAATTGGATTTTGACCACGATTTTGATTATTATCAATATTATTATTTGATTTTATTATTTATTTTATTCACGAGCTAGCTTCCCTCCCCATCTAGCTTCACGTATTACTTCATTCTACTTCATTACACTTGCACTTAAATTTAACTACTCTCCTCTATTTCTCCTCTGCTCCACTCTACTCACCCACTTCGATTACTACCTTACTACCTTACTACCTCAAAACACTCAACCCATACCTTGACCACTTGGACACACCTTACCTCATCCATTCAATCTATTTTTCTACGGCTACGGCTACAGCTACTCTCCCCAACCCATACACTCTCGTTAAGACTATCCGCTTCAACCAATACCCTTAAACTTTCCACAAACCCACCTCCACCACTCACTTTCACACATCACCACCGCCCAACCTCCTCCCTCGTTTCTATTCTTCTCTCCCTCCGCGCCTTTTTTTTTTTTTAAATCTCTCCAATCCACTCTCTCATCCTCCCTTTTCCGACCTCCCCCATTTCTTATACCTCAAAGAGGTGCATGGAAAGCGAAACGGAAAAAAAGGAAAATCCTAGAAAAAGTTCAAACAAAAGGTATGTACCTCATTGTTCCAATGCCCAGTCTTCAATGTTCAATGTCCAGTGCTTCCCGCTTCTCTCCATCCACCTCGTCCCTCCACCTCCCCCATTCACCATCGTGTAGATTTGCGCATCGTCTCTCATAGCAATTGCTGCAGCGCTGACTGGTGTACCTGCATTAGAGTTGGCAAATATCCTCAATTCTTCTGACCGACATACAACCTATCCACAAGTACGCATCACGCCTCTTGCAAAGCAAAACTCCACTGCATTTTGGATCTTCTCTCTTCCACGAAATATTCTACGAGCTTCACGATTTTTTTTTCACGTTCGCATCCTCGAATCTAAGCACGGATCAGATTCCTTCCAAAGAAGCGACAAGCACAAGCATACATACCTGCAGGTTCGCGTAACTGCCAACGATCCTGTCGTGGAGCTTCAATCGCACCTAAATTGGATTAACAAAGCTTCAAGTCCTTTTGTAACGACTTCTACGAGCCAAACGTCTTCTTTTTCGAGTCTTTTTTGAGGTTTTACAAGATCGTTCTGCTTCTGCATCTTTGGCATATGCATCTTATTTCACGAAAAATAAACGACCTGTTACTTTCGCGCTCGTTGTAAAAGCAGTGACTGTTTTGATTTTTCATATCGACGATAGTCTGTCAATATACCCAAGCATCATTCTTCCAATCTTGGTTCAGCAACTTTCATCTTTCTCAAAAAAAAAAAAAAGTTACCCATTTTACCCGCATACACGAATAGACCACAAGTTAAATCTTGTTGTCTAACGTAAAATTCTACCTTTCTTCTCGGAAGACCCTTTATTGAGTCTGCCAGATCATTGTCCTTTCAGGACTTGATCATTCCAACCGAAAAACTGGATCTTCCGTCGATATCACAAGTGCAAACCCGGGGGCCTTCCGAAGTACCATATTACAATCATCACGCCGCGCAGCGACCACTGTACGTGAATGAAAGGTTGCCCGCTTTGCCTTTGCCGCCGCCGCAACAGGCATATTCGTCTGGTACTTCATCTCCCCGGGTTGGTTCACTTAGCTCCCTTGGATCTTCCTCAATTTTGAACGGAGGTTCTCATTCATCTTACACCACAGCGAGTTCCTCAAACGGACCCAAAACCCCTTCTCCCACTCAAGCTAGCAGTGGTTTACCTGTTTCTTTACCTCAAGGATCTTACAGTACACCACCTTCAAACCCAGCATACTCTTACAGCCAAGAGTCATATCAAAACAACATGAATCACGGTCCGCAAGATATGTATTATCCTCCACACATGTCGGCTGGTCAACAGCCACCACCGCAGACTGCCACATCGGGTGCATTGAGTCAATATCCTCAACATCAGCCACCTCTACTTCAACCTGGACCTCCACATTATTCACCGGCACAGCAAGCACCATACGGTCAATACTATGGCAATGGACTTCAATCTCCACAATCGGCACAAATTCCCGGGTCAATGGGTGGCCAAGGCAACGTTCTACCACTTCCAGCAATGACCACTCAACCTGGTATGCCGAGCCAAGGTTATGGCGGACCACAACAATTTGACCAAACTGGCCAAGTTGCCCCACCAGGAATGAAGCCCAGAGTGACAGCAACCCTTTGGGAAGATGAGGGTAGTTTGTGCTTTCAAGTAGAGGCAAAAGGTGTCTGCGTGGCTAGACGTGAAGGTAAGCTTAGCCCTCTCAAATTCAAATAAATTATGCTAACTAGGCAAGATAATCACATGATTAATGGCACGAAATTATTGAATGTTGCAGGTATGACTCGTGGACGACGAGATGGTATCCTGAAAAGTGAAAAAATGAGACACGTTGTGAAAATTGGTCCTATGCATTTAAAGGGTGTTTGGTAAGCAAAATTTGATAGTCTAGGTGCACGTGCATATCTAACCCAAATAATAGGATTCCTTTTGAGCGTGCATTGGATTTCGCAAACAAGGAAAAGATTACGGAATTATTGTATCCTCTATTTGTTCACAATATTGGCGCTCTTCTATACCACCCAACAAATCAGACACGAACGAATGCAGTAATGGCAGCCGCAGAACGTCGAAAGAATGAGCAAAACCAAATGCGGAATCCACAAGCACCTGGTTTGCCTTCATTACATCAACATCACCATCACTCAATGGCTAACTCAATTGGCGCTCCCCTTCCAGGTCCACAGCATTCCCTTGCTCCTCATCCAAATGTTGGTCGTCCTGCTCTCGAAAGATCACACACATTCCCCACCCCTCCCACAAGTGCATCTAGTGTAATGGGCAGTATGGATAATTCTAACGGCAATTTCCAGTGGCCTGGGCAATCCATGGGCAATGTGCAAGGTACCAATCCCCTGTCAATTGACACTGGATTAAGTAATGCTCGCTCAATGCCAACAACTCCAGCTACCACTCCTCCCGGAACTGCGGTTCAATCGATGCAACAATATCAACAAACTCAACAACCTTACGACTCGAGACAAATGTACTCCCAAGCACCCCCGCCACAGAATGCTTACGCCCAAGCTCCGCCGCCCCAACAAAGCATGCCTCAATACTCGCAACAGCCAAATTCATACATCAAGAATGAAATGGGTCCACCATTGGCGAGAGCACCAGATGCTGAGCCCCAACATCATGAACCAAAGGATTCAAACGGAATGATTCATCACCAAGGAAATGGTCAAGTTGAGGAAGAACATGATCAAGATCATGATGGCGGTGAATACACTCATGACAGCCAGGGTAATTACGATTCAAGTCGTCGGCCATACAATTACTCGAATGGCCCAGCCGTAGGATCAATAACAGGTGAACACACCCATTTGTCACCAGAGATGACTGGCTCACCAAATAATCCAGCTTCCGGACGAGCCACTCCTAGAACGGCGTCAGCACCACAAACATACTATGCTCAACAGCAAGGTGGTTACAGTACACCTCCGCGAATCCAACCACCCTCGAGTAATTTGTATAATGTAGTCAGTCAAGAACGTGGTACAGCTAATGGCAGCACAGGTGGTGAAGTTTACGCACCACAATCAGATCTTGGAGCTTCAATGTCTAATGGTTATGCCGGACAGCAAAACATCATGAATGGTGCCCCTGGGAGTAACAAGCGTGGCAGAGATGATGATGATGATGGTCGACCATCGAGTAGAGGTCCAGGAATGGCCGATGCTGATGGTTTGAAGAGACGGAAAACGATCCGTGAAGGTTCGGTTTCTGGACCATCTTACAATCCAGGACTCAACCGAGCTCAATCGACCATTGCTCAAAGACGCCGGTAACTCGAATCGATGATTTTGAACGCAAATTTTTGCACTTTCTTCCAGTGATCTGATTTTTTCTCATCATGATCTACTGTTTTTTTATTCTTGGCTCGCGCCACAAAAGCATTCTCGACAATCACAAGTTCACTCTTTGAAAGAAAATTTCCTTTTTATCTTCACGATTGTCTTTGTATTCGCCGAACATAGATTCAGCAAATTATTTGAACCTGGAATGACGACGAGTTTATGACTGAAATTTTTAGATGACCCTAATGTGGATCATCGAAACGGCTTTAACGAATTTACGCTATGCAAACATGGGAGAGGAAATAATCTGTTGAGAAATGATCCCAAAGATATACACATGCAAGCGGGATTTATTTACTTGGGGGTTTTCATTTTACAATCGAGAACAAAAAAACGAAACACGCCTATTAATGACACTCTAGGCGTCGACATGAAATATTTGGGATTTGGGCTTTTTGTGTTTTTCGTTCATGGGAAAGGCTTAAATGATTTGTTTTCGTTCAGACGGACGACCAAAATAATGAATGGGGCCATTTTTCTATTCGATATCTACAGCACCGAGGAACCTGTCTCAATATTTTTCTTATGATGTCGGGAAGGATGAATAGAGAAGGAAAACTGGACCACTGAACAGATAATAATTTTGTTTAATGTTTTCGGCTTTTCTTTCCTGGACCGACTTCTGGTTTCGTCGCTTTTTGTTGAGCTCTTCTTGAGCTTAACGTTTACACATTATTATTATGATTTATGACCATTTCCTTACTTATCTTGTCAGTTGTTGCAGTTGTGAGTTTTCTTGGGCTTGATGGGGAAAGGGGATGAAATGGATTCTACCATATGAGGATGGTTATCCCAATGGATGAATGCCATATCAATGGAATGTGTGGAAAAGGTACGAAGCTTGAATGTTTTGTAACTAATTCTGAACGCAAATGGGTTAAGGGTGATTGGAATGAAGGAATGGGAATGGTTGAATGATATGACTTTATGATGAAGATGGATGGATGGATGGTATGAATGGATGGATGATTGGATGGGTTCGGGGGTATTATTGGAATTCAACTGGAACTGAACTGAACAAGATACAAAATTTAAAAGTTGTTGATGATTTTTTTCCCAGAGGAATTGTGAGAGTGTGTGATGTGATGATATGAGTGAGATGTGAATTTCCTTTTGTTTTTGATGTATGTATGTACCTAGGTATGTATGTATGCATGTGATGATACGTTGTATTAACTCTAAGTAGAAATGGAAATGGAGATGAAGACTTGAAGTGCGGTGGGGTATGTATGCGGATACTGGTAATATATGTATGTATGTATGTATGTATGTATGTATGTATGTATGTATGTATGTATGTTGTTTAGAGAGGGGGGAGAGGGGAGAGGGGAGAGGGGGGAGAGATGAATTGGAATTGGAATTGGAGAAGTGGTGGGTGCAGGTGGGAGAAGTGGTGAGGTGGGATGAGGTAGGATGAGATTGATGAGATTGATGAGATTGATGAGATTGATGAGATTGAATGAGATTGATGAGATTGATGAGATTGATGAGATTGATGAGATTGATGAGATTGATGAGATTGATGAGATTGATGAGATTGATGAGATTGATGAGATTGATGAGATTGATGAGCGGATTGAATGGGAGAAGTGGCCATGGTGCAGGTGGGAGAAGTGGTGCAGATGGGTGGAGATGGATGGAGATGGGTGATGAATGAATGAATAGGAGAAGTGATGGGTGTTGAATGAATGAATGGGTGGCTTGGTATAGGTATGAATGGGTATAGGAATGGGTATGAGAATGGGTATGAAACATTACGTTGTGTCTTATTTAGTTATTTAGTTATTTAGTTACTTGATTGTTTGTTGGTTTGTATATCGAGTTTGTATATCTAGATAGATAGATGGATAGGTAGATAGGTAGATGGATAGGTAGGTGGATAGATAGATAGGTATTTAAGATTGAGATTTGAGATTTGAGAATTTGAGATTTGAGATTTGAGATTGAGATTTGAGATATTAGGATAGGTATTGGGATAGGTATTCTATTTATCTATTTATCTATTATTATTAGATTATAGAGATAGAGAGATAGAGGAGGATAGAGAGCTATTTTGAATAAATATTTTAAATAATAAACAAATAAATAAACAAATAAATAAATAAATAAATAAATAAATATAAATAAATAAATAAATAAATAATAAATAAATAAATAAATAATAAATAAATAAAATAAATAAATAAATAAATAAATAAATAAATAAATACATAAATAAATAAATAAATCAATAAATACATAAATAAATACATAAATCAATAAATAAATAAATAAAAATCCATAACATAAATAAATAAATAAATAATAATAATTAATTAATTAAATAATCGATTAAATAAATAAATAAATATTTTAAATGTCGAAGTAAGAGTAAGAGTAAGCGAGGGAGGAGGGGAGGAGGGAAAGGAGAAAAGGAGAAAAGGAAGGAAGGAATGATAGATACTCGAGTACTCACTCTTGTTTGATCTTCTGAAATTCTGGGGTTCTGGGATTCGGGGATGTAGGATGTGAGATGTAGGGTGTGAGATGTAGGATGAGATGTAGGATGTGAGATGTGCGATGTGTTTGATTGATGGTGCGAGTAAGGATTGTTTGTATCAACTGGAGATTGGTTGATCTGGATGTATTTGGGAAGATGAATAGATAGATGGATTGAGTTGTAGTGTTTGTGTATGAATCTGGATTTGGAATTTTGGCGGAACTGGGTAGTGTGATTAGGTAGCTAGGTGATTTAGGTCTAAGATTGTTTGGGGGGGGTTATTGTATTGTGTTGCATCGTATTTCATTGTATTGTATTTTGTTTATAATTCCCATAGTTGTGACTCGCGAATGTGATTCTTACAGAAAAAGAAATGTCAATGTATAGATAGATAGATAGATGGGTATGATCATTTCTCTATATCATTATTCGTTCCTCATTTCCTCATTTCCCGACAATTCTCAGAGCCTACTGTTACTGTAGCACTTGCATTCGGGAATATATCTAGACGTCCTGATGATATATTTACTTGCGCTTGGTGAAAATGTAGGGGTTCGCTTCTATGGTCTATTCTTTATATATATACCTACCTACTTGGGCTTGAAATCGTCTCTCGAGTCGGCCTGGGTCTTTGTTTTTGAAGATCTGGGAGGTGAATTCTGGTATTTTAGATATTGTATGGGGTTTCTGTTGGGGGGGGATTGATATTCAACATTACATCGAGAGAGTGGAAAAGGGAAGGGAGTAGAATCGTACTTGAGTATCGGGAAGTTGGTCCGAACTTCTAAGCGTGAGAAATTCTAGTGGACAGGGGGGTTTAGGTGAGAATTTCCCGATTTTTTTTCCCGCCGGGATATGTGGATTAGAGATCAAGAAGTGAGTGGGAATGAGTAGAAAGGGAGGTTGGGTTTATTGGCATTTGAGGGGAAGAGGGAAGAGGGAAGAGGGAAGAGGGAAGAGGGAAGAGGGAAGAGGGAAGAGGGAAGAGGGAAGAGGGAAGAGCGTACGCAGTATGCGGTATGCGATGTGCTTGAAAATGTGTGGAATGGAGATACACTCACTTATGGAATCCTCGTCTATTGAGAGACAAAAGGGGAAGCAGGAAGTTTTACAAGCTTATCTTTATTAAAATTCTTTTTGTTCATATCCTTTCATGAAAAATATCCGCTCTTTGCCTCTTTTTTCTATTTTTGTTTGAACCGCTCTTCGTTCAATTGTACAGCATTTAATATCCAGCACCCAGCACCCAGCACCCAGCACCCAGCACCCAGCACCACCGACCACAACCATCAACATACAGAAGTGGCATCCTTCATCTAAACCAAACCAACTGCCAGTTTCGATATCGGAACAGACTTTTAGTTGGAAGATATTGAGAGGAGGTCAATACATGTCCTCCGACTCCCTCATTCTTGCAAAGTTCTGTAGATGATAGTCCGTATAATCGGTATCCGTTCCTCAAGAATATGGGACGTTTATGAAATTAGCTATTAGATTAGATAGGAATACTTCTAATTCCTTCAACTTATCACAGAGGAATTATTTTGCTCTTGAGTGTGGTTACCATGCATCTGATCGAAAGTTTAAGCATCGAGACAGAAGGGGTGCTGGATTGAATTGTGTGGAGAGGAGCGTGACAATGGAGAACGTGCTATTGGATTGAGATAGACGGCGATGATGTTGGATGATTGTGAAAATGATGGCATTTTTTCAATTTAGGTAATGAAAATTTGCATGTAGTTGTCATTATTGAATCTCGTTGCGGGCTCTAAGAATTCGCAAAATAAATCAAACCCCGGCATTATTTGACGAAGCGAGAACAAGCTTGTTCATTTTCTGCTACGTCGCCGAGTCAAGAAGCCTTCCGGGTAGAGATTCTTGACAAGCAAGACTCATTACTTTACTCCTATCCTAATCTTAGTCCTGGTTTTTTCGCCCTTTATTCTTGTATTCTATTCTCGAACAAACACCACATAGCACATCTATAGAATGAAGAATGAGATATTTGAGGATTGCAAGTAGCGAGTGGATCTTAGGCGAGTAGCGAAAGAGATAATAATACAGAACTAGTGCATGTATTTGTTCAAACAATAGTTTCGCGGCTTTATATAAATATGCTAAAATCCATTCCAATTGGGCTGTGTAATCAGAAATTGATGTTTTTCCTCGTTCATTTTGATCTATCTAGACCCTTCTACTTTCTCTCAACTTGAGGAAAGAGAACCGAGAAAAGTACTGCCGGTTGCTAACCACATGTATATATTCACTTGTAAACTATTGAAGGAAACTCATTGGAAGTGAGGGCTTGGACTGTTGTTCCGATCGTGGTACAATGTGAAATTCATTTATATCTTTCTTTGAAACAAACTGTATGCCTGATAACAGTTTGTGCAAAGCCCATGAGGCAATTCATTTCCCAGCAGTTATTCGAGGTTCTTAATAATCGCACAAAATTGTCCATCCTGTTTTATCTCTTTTTGTCTCGTACACATCATATATATCAAAATGAAAAGTACGACATGAATGCCCGAACTCCAATCCAGCCCTGAACACCTTTAAAATTCGATTCTCTAGTCCCGAATCCATTCGCCATATCCTCTGTTCATAAAAAAACCCCACCAGATTAAAATATTCTCAACCCAACCTATACTATTCAATCGACCCTCCAAATCAAAAATCGTAATTTACCCCCCTCTTTAGGAAACTTCAGCGTCCCCTCCACTAGTCCACTCTCCCTAACTCCTTCCACCGCCTCTGTAAAACATCTTCTCATCTCTGTAGACGGGCTTGACTGTGGTACTGACAAAATCGGCGATCGAATTTCGTGATTATTAATATGGCCCCATGATTTATCGAAATCGTCTTGTTCATCCACTTTAGGTTTGGGAAATTGAGGACGGCAATGAGGTTTTACTTTTGGTTTCGATACTTGAGATTTGGGAAGAGAGTCTAAAGGAGGCTCAGAGGTGGATTTGTCGATGGAAGTGTAGACGAGGCCGAGGAAAATCCCTTGAAGGGAAGCATCGCCAGTTACTTCTGAGAGAGAAAGGGTCGAGATCATGGGGGCGGTGGAGCCAGAAGAAGTTGGTAGGTTTGAGTTGAAGAATGAGTGAGAGAGGAGGACATTCGGGAGGTGATGATGAAGAGATGTTGGTAGAGTGGATGTGAAGGAGACAGGTGGCATCGGGAGAGATGGCATAAAAATGCAGGATTGAGGTGAGGAGGGAGTTGGACGAGGTAATGAGGGGTCAATTATGGGTCGTTGAAATGATCCTAAATAAATTTGTTAACTTCTGGTTATACTGTTGATGTCTTGTAAATGAGAGAAAAGTCCCAGGAATTATCAATTGAAGAGAAGCTGGACTGAACAGAAATTCGCCAACTACTTACGTTCATTCTTCTCAACTGCCCTCGCAGACACAACGGCCCCCAATCCCGCCATCATAAATAAATTAGAAAACAACATTTTCTTTCGATAACCTTTTCTTTTCAAATGATTTCCTTTAAAAAATTATTACAACTTAATTGAATCAAAAATATCTAAGACTCTTTCCTGAAGTAACCCGCGGCCGGCCGTAGCCTTCCAAAATCCACGGGAGAAGCTCAGATTTTAAACAATCTTTCTCTCTAAGCTTAAACGCCAAGTGAGTGACCAGTAACGCACGATGCCTTATAAGTGACAAACAGATTAATATCCCCATATTTTCAGATTTCACATATCTCAAATACATAGATAGAAAAGGTTGACCACAGGAAAAAGATATGGGAAACATCAAAACGTCATCCCAAGAATTGAGTGTTATTGGGTAACATTGATCTTGTTACATGGTTTGTGTCAAGGGGCTTCAGGGGTCGTTCGTTTTAAGTTACCGAGCATGCACATGCGTAGCGAGAATGTATCCACCAGTCAATCCACTTGGAAGAATTGAGAGAAAATTGCATAAAGCTTCAGAGGAGATCCTAGAAACAATATGAAATTTTCAAGACGAAAGCCAAGATATTGGCAGGTTTGGGAAGGTAGTACCGATAGATACGCCAAGAGATGAGAGGAAGCTGGGACCGTGACAGGATAAGTGGGGAAACGGTGTTTGGGTCAAATTCTTGGAGGTTTAAAAAGGCGAAGAGAAGAGACGCACACAATCACGCGTTCAACAGATCAAATCCATGTATAGGGGCTCGTCTCAAGTTTCTCAGACACCTCAAGTATCAACAATCAAAAATTGAACATGACGTGAATGCGCCAAGAAAGATATACGCCTGGATTTGAAAACATGAGTGGCTTTTATGATGCGACGAGAAAACTATATCAAGAGATTTTCATGCTTAAACCTTTTTTGACCCTCTCCCTCACCATATTCAACGGACATTTGACCGTTTCCGCGAATTTTATATTTGTAGATCATAAGACCTTCCAAACCGACTGGTCCCCGTGCATGGATCTTGTTTGTTGATATTCCTACTTCGGTACCGAAGCCAAAGCGCATACCATCAGCCATGCGACTGGACGTATTCCAGAAAACTCCTGCTGAGTCAACACCAGCCATAAATCGCTCGGCGAGATCAGAAGATGACGTGAGTATCACATCTGTGTGATGAGAACCATGAATGTTGATATGTGAAATGACTTCGTCGAGATTAGAAACAGTCTTGATGGCAAGAACAAGGGATAAATGCTCCGTGTCAAAATCGCTTTCAACTGCATCTTCGAGCAGGACTGCTTGATTAGAGGGAAGTTTTGATGTAAGAGCTGATTTACTCGAAGCATCACATAGTAGAGAAACTCCCTTCTCTAATAGTGCTTCTGCAACTTGGGGAAGAATTGTCTCAAGAGCTGCTTGCTCAACGAGTAAAGCCTCAATGCTATTGCATGCGGCTGGATATGAAGTTTTCGAATCGACGATAACCCTTGTTGCCATTGCTGGGTCGGCCGTTTTCTCAAGATATATCGAGCAAAGGCCATCTGCGTGACCCATGACTGGAATTTTGGTATTTTCCTTGATATATCTGACCAATTCGTTCGAACCTCTTGGGATAACGAGATCAATGTATTGGTCCAATGCCAATAATTGAGGAATTACATCCCTGGTGGTAACTAATTGGATCGCAGCTGCAGGGACTTTTGTGGATTGTAAAGCTGCTGAGATTACCGTAGAGATAGCAATGAAAGATTCGGTAGATTCTTTTCCACCTGTAAAACATTAGCTTTCATTTGAACGACGACATGAATGTTTTATCGTACCCTTCAAGATAGCGGCGTTTCCGGATTTGATTGCTAACGAAGCAATGTTTGCGATGACCTCTGGACGTGCTTCAAAGATAATCAGAAGGACTCCAATGGGGCACGACACTCGCTCGAGGTCTAGACCATCATCAAGTCTTGTTCGCAATGTAACTTTTCCAACTGTATGAAGTGATCAGCGTTCATTCACTCTATGGGGAAATTTGTCAATACCAGGGTCGTCAAGATCTCTGACATCCAGAATTCCCTTCAACATATCCTCATATTTTCCCTTCTTTCCCAAATCCAGTCTCGATACTATACTTAAGCTTAAACGACCACTTTTGGCTTCTTTACGAGCCAATTCAAGATCTCGGGCATTGGCTGCTAGTATATCTGCTTTATTTTGTAGAAGTGCATCATGAATAGACGTTAGAGCTGCATTTTTAGAGGCTGTTGGAAGTGTAGCTAGGACGTGAGAAGCAGTCTTAGCCCCGCTCGCAGCTTCTGCTGGGGTTGCGTTTGTCAGAGACATGGGGATTTGCAAAATTCAAGTTAAAAAAAAGGACGAAGGATTTTAGAAGAGGTAAGTCGAGGTTACGAACACTTGAGCTTTGTTAACGGTACAAGAACGTGCTGTAGATTCACCCGACAAAGTCTTGATAATAAATAATGAATGCCCTTGTTCCACCCTCAATGCGATGACTGATTTCTGGAAATTTTGACAGCACGTGATTATGACCGGAGCATACGGCCGCTAGCGGGTACCAACCCCACAAACAAGTGGGAGCTCTGTAGCTCCAAGGCAACATCGTAGCATCTCACAACTTCGTCTCTCGAATCGATTCGCCTGATACCAATAGAATTGGGACTCAAAGATAGTGTACTGAAGCTACCTTTGACATTCCTGGAGTTAGTTTGAGATTACCTCGTCTATTCCACACGGCATCTATCCAAGACTAGCTCAAGTCCTTAAAAGCTGTGTCCCTAGTAATCGATTGAGTGACTTCCAACAAACGCTCATTATCTGGTCGCATACTCTACCTTCAAGATGGACAATTTCCTCTCCCGCATGCTTTTATTTCCTCCTCATCCAGCGCCCTTGGTACCTCTCACGGATTTGCAATATGATACTGGCATCACATCACAAATCGACAGTTTAAAGAAGACCTCCGAGAAGACATTGTTACAGCCGACTGCAGGTGATGAAAGTCCTTTGGATGTGCGCAGAATTATTGAAATCGTGGTCGGACAAGAGCTAATAAGTCTGTGATAGGTGATCAACCCCTCATTAAATACAGTACCATACATCTACATTCTAAGAGCCCACATCGCTGCAGCCCATAGAGGCGAGAAGGGAGTCAACGTCAATGACTTATGGGAAAAGGCGACAGCCTTTTTACATAGTTTCGACAAAAGGCAGATCCGATACCTTGGCAAAGAGATACAAGATGTCATGGAATTTGTAGCGCAAATTGCTTCGGAACAACGTCAGGTGCGTAGAAATATATCTTGTGTCATGGAAGAAAATAATACTAAAGTCTACATAGCCAGGTGCTGCCATTCCCCCAATTAGAGAAGCCATACTTCGAATCGACCCCTCAGGATCGGTCCTTACCTCAAACCATATATATCTTGTCCGGTTGGCTCTCCAAACACGTTACTTCGCTGCCATTACAGAACTTATTGACAAACCTATCCTTTATATACCTGCCAAGCAACCAGTTTCATACACACGTTATCTTTGCGAAGTCGACCTACCGGCACAATCCTATGTGACGATCAAATCGAACTTTTCCACCAAACTAAATCCTCTCGAGATACTAGAGTATTTCTATTACAGTGGATCAATCTATATTGGTTTACGGAGATGGGACGCTGCATTGGAGATGTTGGAGAATGCTATAATATATCCATCAAATGATAATAGCGTGAGCCTTGTCATGGTCGAGGCATACAAAAAATGGTTACTCGTTGGACTTCTTCAATATGGAAAGGTCCTTCAACTTCCAAAGACCACTTCCCCGGCCGCCGCTAAAGCATTCCACATTATTGCAAAACCATACGAAGCTATTGCCGGTATCTTTGAAACTGGATCAGCGGCACGATTAAAGAGCGAGGCCGAATTCGGTCGACAGATATGGTCTGACGATGCTAATTTCGGGTTAATTTGCTGTGTTCTGGCTGCTTATCAAAAGTTTCAGATCCGCAATCTTGCCAACGTCTATTCGAAAATTGGAGCTGCGGATATCATGGGTCTTACGATGAGCGCAGAAACTGGTGCAAAGTTAACTTCAATCAAACAGATTGAAGATCTTGTACAGAGCATGATCGCCGAAGGCACTTTACCTGCAACTATGATTCGAGATCAATCTGGCCATGCAGTTGTTACGTTCTCGCCAACCGGTCCAGTCCTTTCGGAAACCCAAGTTCAAAATGATTTAGTGGCATCGACTCGACGTATCCAATCATTAGCCAAACAAATCAAAGTTACGGATAGAGTTTTGACACATGACAAGCGATATATTGATAGTGCTCAGAAGGCCCAGTTGAAGCTGAAAAATGCTGCCAACGCTGGTGGAACAGCAGAGCCCTTAGACTGGAACTCTATAATTGAGGACGAGGACATAATGATGGAGACATAGTTAGTTTAATTCAGGTGTAGCGGGAATATTTAGTGGTTCATGATGAAGTGGGCATTGGTTTCTTTCTCTAGGAAGATGTGGTATGGATCAATCGCAAAAAGCGATGTTTGCTCTGGGCAATGAACGGGTTGTAATACACAGTAAAGTCTTTCGAAGAAATCGGAAGCAGTGGCGTATGGGCAGGTGGCGTATTATGAAGATATGATAGGAATGAATCTATGAAGTAGAGAAAATGAATCTATGAATCCTAAACAAGTAAGCATGCAAATAAACATGCATTGGTTGTGGTAATACTTTCATATTCTTCGTGCAAATCTCTATCATGAAATTGAAAATGACACTAGCATTGATTACGCAACGCCAAACAGTGTGAAGTACCATCATCAAACTCATCATGGTCATTGATAAAGAGTCTCTTGCCTCTCCCACGCCATCATTATTCTTCTCGGAACATAAACACTACATGTCAAGCTATACACATCTAATCAATATTGTACGCCTTGATCAACTCCGCCAACTTCAGAGCATCAGCAGCGTAATTTACAGCTGAGGCTGAAATGACTGAATATCGGACCCTATGGTAATAATTAGTCGCATATCCACAATACTAATATGTGTGGGATCAGAATTGACATACCTTGCTTGATCTTGATAAGTGTCAGTTTTGCATCGAACCTTGAATGTCATCATCTTGCAATTTGCATCCTCAAACACTCTCTCCATAGCTGGTGGATCATTTTCTTTCATCTCCATCAGCTCATCTGCACTCTTTCCAATGACTAGCTTTCCCACTTCGTCAAATGCCGTTAGCCACATTTGACCGGTATGATCGTTGACATTCAAGGCGAGAATATAGCGATATTCAGGTTTAGGGTGGCTTTGGTTACATTTCTCGCAACGCCAGGTGCCATCATTTTGGTCAACAACTTTCTTGTTGCAGTTCTCGTTGAGACAAGCTGGGTAGCAGAAGTTGTCTTGTTTGATGTAGACGATGGTGGCTCTAGAAGAGAAGTAGTCTGTGTTCTCCTCAGACATTCCAAGACCCTCATCCTTGACTTGAGCAATGGTCTTGACGGGATCTTGGCGGCCTCCTGCTGCTCCAGCGCTGGCCAAATTGCTATGAGAAGCAAAGTTAGAAGTACGACCTTGGGAGTCATACCACCCCTTGAGTCTGTGTGCTTCTTGGATATCTGGGTCAAAGGACATAGAGCCAGAAGATAACAAACTCAGACTTCTACCACCGAAATCGGAAACTTTGACACCCTTGAAAGCCACAACCGCCTCTGGACTGGCATCAAAAGAGGTTGCTGTCTTGCCCCATATTGTCAATCGTACAGAATATCCAGTCTCGTCAACCAATGTTAACTCTCTTTTGCTGTAGGGTTTGCTGGTCGTCTTCGACGTAATTTCCGAGATCTCTCCAACTTCCTTGAGCACAGCGATGAGATCAACTGTGCTGTCTTTTTCAATAGACTGTAATTCTCCAATGTTGGAAAAGTTATATCGTACTTGAGGGACATTATCTTGGTCTTCGGCTTTCTCTACCAGGGTATCTCGTTCGAACATAAGCTCGTAATCATTATTTATGTTGGAAAATTGCTTCTTGGCGATTTGAACACGACATGGACTCGTGATATAATAGACGCTACCTTCCTGGAAAATCTCATATAAAGCATCGCACTGTTCGTTGAAGCCCGTAGCCTTGATCTCGCCACTCTCATCGAGAAGATTCACGCTGAAGAGCTTTCCTTCACTATTCGGCTTGGACCATGTTCTGATATCTGACTTGCTTGTAACTCTTGCTTTGATTGTCCATTTGTGGGCATATGGCGACAAAGACTCAATGGGATATATAGTGGCGTGTGATGAGGAGCTAGAGGGTCCGTTGCGGGATGGGAGTGCACGATCTTGGGCTGCAGGTTGTTGGGGTTGGGGTTTGTTTCCGTAGAAACCACTTCCGGCAATGCTAGTATTTGTTGGCTTAACGTCCTCCTCGACCTTGACCGCGGTTGGTTCTCCAATCTTTTCCATAGTGCCCAGGCTTTCGATGACATCGATATCGAGGATAATCAGAATTCTAAGAGCAGCATTAGGCACCGACCTCTTATTAGGGCATCTAAGTCTACTAACCTTTTTCCTTTGACTTCATTCGCCTGATAGTTCTTCAGACGAATGAAGCAGCCTTTTGTCAACTTTCCGTCGTGGATGACATGGTTTGCCTCTAATCCGCCATCAGCCAAATGACTCTCGCAGGGTTTAAGTAAGAGAGCACGAGTTCTACTTACGAGTGGCAAGCATGCACTGTACAAAGTTTTGGATGTCGCTCACGACAAGTCTGAATCTTTCAGCTTGTCCATCCACACCCGCACCCATAGGTTTGACTTGTACTACCTGGCATACTGGTACCGGGAAGTCTTTTATTACTCGATCAGTGTCATTGAAGATGGCACTTCCAAGAGTTAGCAATGGAAAAACGATTTGAATGAATGTAATACTCACTTCAATGCACCTTGAGTAATTTGAGCTTTTGCAACTTCCATTATTATCAACGACTTTATTATTCTTGGATCTACTGAAAATAAATGTATACCAAGTATTTGATTTATTGACTTGTCAACTTTTCCTTACTGATGATGAGTCGCGGTTCGTGTAAATTGATTTTAGAATTTCACGCGTCTTGGAACGTGCTTCGCCGCGCTAGCAGCCTAATTATATCACGCTAACACGAAGCCTCCCCGCTCTTCATCATCCACCCCTCTTCACGTGGCCTCCCGCCCGCCGCCAAGCTTCAGTGCCCAAATATCATCCATTCATTTCCTTGTTGACAGAACAACATTAACTTACAAACATCCAGAACTACATACAATATGGCTGAAGAGACCGCTACCAGAGCTCCAGAGAGCGATGCTATGGAGGACTCAAAAGAGGTTCCTCAAGTCGAACCAAGCCCAATTCCAGGAGATACTCCAGCGCAAAGCGGTGCGAGTTTGGGTGTACGTCTTTGAGACACTGAATGGGAAGAATATTACTAACTTTTACAAGGAGCATTGTGTAAAGGATAGGCCAACACGTTAGTACTCTTGCGCATTGATTCTGCATCTTCTAGAAACTGCAGAAATCAATTACTGACGAAAATAGCTGCCGGGCAAGGTTCATCTGGAGAAACTACACAACTTGGAGGGGTCGACGTTTACATTTCCAAGCCCAGCGAATATCCTCATGCGCCATCGAAACTCTTACTACTTCTTACGGGCGCTACAGGCATGCATTCGGTCAATAATCAGATTCAAGCCGATAAATTCGCTGGTGAAGGTTTCCTCGTTATCATGCCCGATATGTTCCACAACGACCCATTACCTGGTTCCGTGACCTATGCTGAAGATAAGGATCCTTCTTTGATCGAGAAGTTGAAGATGCACGCCGCAGAGACAGCAAAGAGTTTCTTGGCAGATATGTGGCTCGCAAGACAAACACCCGAAAAGATTTTACCGATTATCCACAAAGTCATCGATGCCGCAAAGGACGAGTTCGCAGATGCAGTAGCGAATGGAGGAGGAATCTATTCTGTTGGATATTGCTTAGGTGGAAGAATGACTCTGTTACTTGCAGGCGAGAAATCAGACGCCGTTCACTGGGGTCAGCAACCGGCGAAAGATGAGGAAGCCGCCGTTGAAAAGAAAGGACCGTACATTAAAGCTGGCGCAATCGCTCACGCAACATTAGTCGGCAAGGAGGATTGGGAAGGAACCAAAGTTCCATTGGCATTTGTTTGTGTTGAGGATGATCAATTGTTTTCCGATGATGTTCAAGAAGTTGGAAAGACATACCTGAATGAGAACAACATCGAACATGAATTCAAGACGTATTCGGGAGTTCCTCATGGATTCGCCGTATTCGGTGATTACGAGCAATTGAACATTAAGCAGGCACAAGCGGAAGCGTACGATCAAATTTTGGCATGGTTGAAAGCACATTAAATGATCTTTCCTTTGCTTGGCGTATACGAAGGTGTTTGGTGTTGCCGATGATGGCTTGCTGTTACGAGCTATGGCTCAAGGTTTTGACTTAAGTTTTAGGATGGTAACACATCACAATGTTTACGAAGCAACTCAGTAAAGTATGCTATGAAATGAAATCTTGACTTGCACATTGAATCATGTGTCAATCCGCGAATTATTGGAGTATCATACTATCGTTCGAGCTCATTTTCACAAAATCTTTCCAATCTCGCTAGCCCCTAATTTGATTTCACCACTAAAGTCACATGTTGGACATTATCTACTGTCCTTTTCAATTTTAAGGAAGAACACACATGTTTGTAGTCTCGCTATAAGAGAACCCTTCATGTATGGGCGGGGTCCCAAATATGAGATAGCACCAGCTTGTCTTATCTATGAGCACTCTTACTTTAAATCATCTTCATAGATATAGTCCTTGAGGGTTCTCTCCCCCAGCGTATATAACATAAACGCAACAAATTGCATCGTCGCCAAACTCGAAACGGTAAATATATACATACTATAATCCGCATTGTCCCCATCTAGAACTTACAAAAAAGTAGAAGTTGACAGGTATTGATTTAAGCCGGTATTATCTACTTCTTTTCAATCCTCAATATGTAGTAAAGCACTGGTATGTGCTTTTTAACTGCGTTCTTCTCCTCCTCCCTGGAACAATGAACATAAGCGAGATCTAGATCTTGTAGAGATGGTTCTGATTTGGATGCAACAGTGGTGAGGACGAGCGAGTAGTGGTAGGGAATGGAAGTGTGAGGGGAAAGGGGAAAGGGGATTGTTCACACAAATTAATGTACGGAGGTGGGAGAATTCCCTTTCGTAAGGATGTACTAATGAAATTTGGTTGTGGTTGTGGTTGTGGTTGTTCGGCTGGAGTGGGATATCGGAGGTGGAAGAGGAAGTGGAAGTGGAGAGAATATGGCTGGAATGATAATGATAAAGGGGCAAAGTTTGCAACAGCGATAGCTGTTGGAGTCAGCGTTCAGCGAATAGCGAATAGTTGTTGATGTCCCTGTTGCATGTTCAAGCGGTTTGCAGGATTCTAAACTCTGGTGTACTGCTATACACATGGCATTGGGTGACTTGTTGACCTCGGACCAATACCGAACTTTATGTTAATGTCAGGTGCAGTGATGAAAAATGTAGCTTTGGCTATTCAAATGTGGATTGATAAGATGCTCATTACGTTTTTTGTTGTTTCCTCCTGTACCTGACAGGTAGATTGAGGCTTGAGGTACTCGACAGAGATGAGACTTTTTAGGGAGGAGATCTCCCACTTTGGGTTTGGCGGTTGTGCATCCTGTTGTATCTGCGTTAAATACCTACACTCTACTTTCATGGGAAGACCTTGATTGCTAATAGCAATAGATAGATGCGCAATACCATAATAGAATTTTCTGTTTATAGTATGCCAGACCAATGTGTGAGATCCACCAAAAAAGTATTCTACTATCTTCCCTCAAACATCTGGGAAACAATGAAATATCTAAGCTAATCCAGGCTTCAGCTACTCGCTGTTTCTTTCAAGGATTCGCTCCGGAATATAGAAATACGTAAATGAAAAAGCTCAAGCGCTTGCTGAGCTTCATAGAGAGATCATATATATTTTCACAATGAATCTGGAAGGTTACCATCCATGACCTTAGAAAAGATCTCCATAAGCAAAAACCATGATATTCAGAGTATCGATTTATATCAGCTAGCATAGCAATACTCAGAAATTCCCAAACTCCATCCATGCTAACCGTCTCAATGTGAATAGCTCCCGACTCCAAGGTTTGCTCCTATACAATTATCTTTCTCGCTTCCTCTACATCTCTCTGCGTGCGTATGTGCATATTATCGATACCATATTATCCTCCCCATTGAACACTCCTAAACCTCCCCGAGCACGCGGCCGGCTCATCAAACACTTCCCGGTACCCAACCCTCTCCAATCCTCCTCATATCCTCCACAAACTTCCTACTAACAATCTTCTTCCCGCCCTTCCCATTGACTGGACAATGTTCATCTGGATCGTAAAATGGGTTTTGTAGGAGCCGGATATATGCCGCTTGCATCGCTTTGAATATCTATTTGCACCATTAGCACTCTCTTCCGAATCCTTCCCATTCCTCTCCCCATCCCCATCCCCATCAGCTAGAAAACAAAACTCAAGACTCACACTCTTGATATCCCCCTCCCTCACCCCTCCTCCCCCCACACCCCCCTCTGCATTCCCATTCCCCCCATTTCCCCCACCATTCCCCTCATATTCCTCACCACCCTCCCCCTCCCATCCACAAAAACCACAAACCTAACCCCCGTATTCGTCTCAAACCCATACGCCGCCAACCTCTCATCAACCGCGTACAGCAGCCCCAAGTCCCCCGTTAAATTACTCCCCGAAATGCGACTCCGCGAATCAAATATGTCGAGTGTGGAACTTAGCAGAAGCGAGTACTGGAGAGGTGTACGGAGGGATTCGTGGACGGCAGGTGTAGATTTGGTGGGGGTGGAGGCAGAGGAGGATGTTGGGTAGGGTGGTGAGTGAGGTGGGAAGATGGAGATGTGGAGGGATTATTCTGGGTGTGTTAGTTGTTTGTACATTATGTATGAAATTTGAAGGGTGGTGGGAAGGAGAATAAGAAGAGGATAGACAGAGGGGGAATTGGACAACGTACATTCTTGCCTATGACGCCTAGACAGGCTATCGAAGGGATTGTTGTCATGTTTGAAGGTATGTGATTCTTCACTATCTGTCCTTATATTGAACGAAGAGCACGGGTACTTTGATAGGTTTTAGGGAATGAAATTGTAATGCGATGCGTTTTGCGATGCGAATGTGATTGTAGTTTGCCGAGAACTCGCAAGGCTATGGTCCGCGCGACAGTGAAGCAAGAAATATTTAGATTGTCGAACTTCAACATATATTTGTAGCTGATTTTTCTGAGTATAGGGTTCGGATTTACGAGGAGAACTTCAAGGGATTTTGATAATGTATAAATATTCATAACAGTACTTATTGGGTATTGTACAATCCATCCAGCCTCGTAGCCTCGTCATGAGACCTATTACTCAGGATGTGCGAAAGCGCTCATTCAAATCAGAAAAACACCTCCACGCCATTGATTTTTTGGCATTTCTGTATCATTCCAATGCTTTCCTCTTACAGATTATAGCCGGCTTGGTCTCTCCTCCTAATGCATCCCCCGGAGAAGAAAGGAACATGAATTGCAAACAGCTGATCACTTCAATTCCTCCACACCGAGGGATTCCGTCTCATCCAAAGCTTTCAAAGCTTCCTCAATCTCTTTCGGGTCACTGATACCCCAGACTCCGCCTCCCTTTAAGGTGTCCATCCCCCTCATCCCAACTTCTTTGCCCACCAAATTTCTCCCAACTTTCCCTGGACCAATACCAATCCACCTCCGAACTTTCTTCTCCTGGTCCAAGTATTTGATTGAATCCCACCATCTGACAGTCTCAACACAACTTCTCGACCACAGGTCCTTCAGTTCCTCTTTACTTTGGAACGGCCTTGCACTGACATTACTTATGCAATCCATGGTCCCAGGGAATATTAATAAGTCCTTGTCTTCTTTTCCCTTCACCTTACTCTTCCCCTCCAATAATTTCAACATAGACTTCGCCGCAGGCCTCATCAATGGACTGTGAAAAGGACTATCACTCTTTAACCTAACGGCCCTAGGATCATGGCCTCCAAATTGTCTCAAATGCGTCAACAATTCCTTTATTCTCCCAATATTCCCGCTCAAGACAATCTGATTCTTGCTATTCATGTTCGCAATTAGCACTTGTTGAATAGGAGGGACCTCCGCACTTTCAGACTTTGAACCTGCAGAAATATGACCTAGAAATTGGTGTATAGCTTCGATTAGAGAAGAGAGGTGATCGGGTTCCGTAACCAAAGCTACCATCCCATATTCACCTCCATGTTCTGCGCTTGCTCTCCGCGAACATTCGGCCATGATTTCTGCCCGTTTGCGCACGAGGTACAAACTATCTTCAAACTCCACATATCCCCCAACAACCAACGCAGCGAATTCGCCCAAAGAATGTCCCAATGTAAAATCAACTCTCTCGTGTGTCTTGAAGCCAAATTCGCGTTCTAAAACTCGTAAAATCAAGATGGAAGACGCCATAATAGCAGGTTGCGCATTGCCCGTAGCTGTGAGGGTACTATTGGGCCCATTCGCTATTATGGATGAGAGTTTATATCCCAGAAGATCATCAATTTCTTCGACGATAGGGCCGGCGGTAGAGGGGAAGGCTTCGAGCCATGGCGTTAACATTCCTACTCTTTGAACTCCTTGACCTGTCGATTGTTAGTGAATACGAACAAACCAACATCACCACAGACATGCGGCATCATGCGATCATACCAGGAAAGAACAGCGCAGTTTTCGGCCTCGAAGATTTATTAGATGAAGCATATCGCCTCTCTTTTCTTTCCCCCGAAAGTCGTAATCGATATGTTGTAGCAGGATAAAGTGTCTTGTTTGTATTCGATGCGCAATCTTCAAGAAAGAACGTCGAACGACTTGGAATGCGCCGGGGCGCAAAACACTTCATTGTTGGATTTCTATAGTTTACACGGAACGAATGAATGGAGATAAAGTTAAGATGCTGAAGATCATGACCCAAAGAATCTGGATACTTAAAGGTTTGATTGACTCACAGCTTCGAAGCTTTAATACAAGCTTCACGAGGCTGTCTTCGGCACAAAGCTACGCAGCCCTTCCATCCGGACCATTTTAACCGATCAAGGATCCCCGCAATCGGCCGAGGAATAAGGGGAACCCCACTAACCAAGGGATTGACAGGGTTGATGGTATATAAAAATCACAAGTCGCTACAGCGAGAGTTAAGAATAGGGACATTGGTTAAAGATGTGATGCAGTGAGTTGTAGTAAAGTTGAATTCTTTTTTGTAGCATTAAATTCATGGTATTCTGACAGCAGTTTTGTCTAACTCCATTTCCCAGTCCCTTCATTAATGTCGTATCCCAAACACCGTTTACAAGCCTAGACAAATGCGCCGAGTGATCCCATAATCTATAATGAACCCCGTCTATGACTCAAGCCAGTCAAGGAATTGTGGTGTGAAATAGCTGACGATGATGGTCGCACCAGCTCTCAGAATACCCTCAGAAGATTCAATCGCCATTGTCTTCAAGTCAAAAACTCCAGCCTTTGCTCCAGCATGAATCATTGCAAATTCTCCACTAACTTGATATGCTGCAACCGGCATATTCTTTCCAATCTCCTTTGCATCACTGATAATGTCAAGATACTGACTTGCTGGCTTGACCATGATGATGTCTGCACCTTCACCAATGTCTCTTTCAATGGCTCTGCGAGCAAGACCACGACCTCCCGGTGGTAATTGGTAACATTTTCGGTCTCCAAACGAAGGAACGGAACCAGCTGCATCACGGAATGGTCCATATAAACAACCAGAGAACTTGGCAGCATATGACATCAAGACAACTCTGTGTGCAATACCCTCCTCGATCAATTTAAGCTTGATAGCACGAATGCGACCATCATTCATATCTGAAGGAGCTACACAATGAGCACCAGCTTGAGCATATGCGATTGCGACGTCCGAAACGCGATCAACGGACAATTGATTGTTGAGACTACCATCATCCCTTAAGATACCGCAATGTCCATGGGAGGTGTATTCGCAAAGGCAGACATCTGCAACGATGAATAGTTGTGGGAATCTTTGACGGAGGAGTCGAATTGTGGCAATGACTGGACCTTGTGGGTCATCTGCAGCTGTTCCAAGAGCATCTTTGACGTTAGGCGCAATCGGTACACCGAATAATATAACAGATCTCAAACCCTTGCGAATAAGAGGTTCTAAAAATGGGACAACTTTGTTGATGCCTCGTCGGTGTTGATCGGGTAGGGAAGGAATAAGAGTTTCTTCGTCATCAATGTCGGAAATGAATAGGGGATAGATAAGCATTGACTGCGATTATTGTCAGAAGTTGAAAGAGATGTACATAGTGGTGCAAATCTTACCTGGTCAATTGTCTCTCAGCCTGCCATGATCTTGCCAAAGGATGACAGTAACCACCGTGCAGTTGACTACCAATATCTCCCGATATGCTCACGCTAGTCGCAGCAGTACTTGCGTACGATCTGGCTCTAGAGACGTGAGAGTCGGCCCTGGAAACATATGATGCACGATCATCATAAGTCGAAGCGGATCCTGGCCCTCGAATAGGTGGTCGTCGCTCGCTGGCGGCATCTCTGAATGACAAGTCCTGTACGAGACTAGAGAATGACATGTTGGGTATACAATGAAGGGTTGTGAATTTATTAAGAGTTGAAATAATCGATGTCAAAAAGTGCAGATCCAAGTTGATATAAACTGTGTGAAGGTGGCGGAGGACGGAGGTTATGATGCAGACCGAGATGTGAAAGTTAAAAAATTACGGAGTCCGGTACAATCGTGTGGTTTATGAATTCCACAATTATGATTGGATGAAAGTTTATAACAAAGATAATGAATCAAAAACTTCCCATGAGAATAATCAATCGAAAGGGAAGTTTCTGGAGATCTTATAAAGAGGTGACATGTGTGAAATAATTTTCAAATGGAACAGATTCCGAACATGATTACTAGGCACTCCGTGTTTCACGAACATCTCAGTGGGCAATCCAATAATGTCATCCATGTTGATGTTATCCAATAATCGATAGGATGATTCAGCTGATAACTACGGTGGCCGAGCAGCTGAGTAGATCTTTTCACAGCTGGTCAGATTTTCAAACAACTTTTTAAGATGACAATGTTGTCTGTTGTTTTGATTGGATAGAGGAAGAAAGAAGTAAACTTGATGGTTCCTTCCTTATTATTGTATTATCGCATTTGTTAAGAAATGAACGTGAAAGGGGTGAAATTCTACTGTCCAAGGTCATAAGTGCACATAGTACCAAGGTAGAATAAGGCATTCAAAGCTCAAGACCTGACTCGAGAATACCCAAGTAGTAGATTGCCTTATAGTTCACCGTAATGATGACAATAATATTACCACATTTGTGCAAACAATCCGAATCAAAGCCGAATACAAATCAAAACAACCTCAATCCACAAAAACAACATGCCCCATTCCACCATTCCGAGCTCCGGTCTGCCATTCCGCATACATTTCGTACACTTTCCTAGCCATATCAATCGTCGTCAATATAAGAGAGGACAGCCCATCCACATGGCTCGATAGTCTCGGGTCCCATCCTTCAATTTTCTTGTGCCTTGGCTCGGCGGCCGTGGTATCAACCCCAGATACTTTCAGCTTAGCACAAGCCAATGATATGTGCCAGCACGCCCCTTGTGCGCGTTGTCAGCACTTGAGGAGTGCTCCTGTTCCTACGTCTGGAAAGTCTCCGCGGAAAATCGTTTCCGGAGATACATTACCGGAGCAGCTTTGGCGGAGTAAGCACTCCCACTTACTGGATGTGTACTGAGAGCATGGCTCAAATGGCGCAATCGTTGGAACACCATTGAGATGGAAATAATACGATAACCATGTGCCAACATGCCAGCCGCTCAACGAAAGAATAATGCTTTTCTCCATCATTTGCTTGTTTTCCCCACAGATCAGATAATAGCTAGTGTAGTACTCTGTTAAATTCTGGTGAACGTCAGAGTACCAATTTTAGTTTGTCTACTCTCTTAATATATCTGCCACTCATATAATATGCTCTAGTGTCTGCTTTAAAAAATGACATGCCCATTAATGGCAGGCACTTGGCAACATGTTTGATAGTACCAGTTGTGCGGTGGGGTGGTACTTTGGTAAGAACAGAGGTTTGATGTTCCCTAATACAAGAGCACTTACTCCTAATCAAAGCTTAACATGATTACCTTTTAATGCTCTAGAAGCACTTCAGGCAGTGTAAACATGATGGTACGTGTATTCCACGCGTAAGGTTTCTGTGTATAAGGTTCTATTGCTTGTCGGATTCAAAATTTTGAGCAGGAGAACATTTCTGACAAGTACCACACGGAGATTTTTACAACCACCAAAAGGTAGTTGAATAAATCAAGCCATAGAGTTGCAACTTGGCATTGTACAGTATGATGGTCTGAGGTTGAGAACTCAACAAAATACAATAAATACATGCTTAAGTATCTTTCCTTTGCAAGTTTGCGTGTGAATTGAGACAGAAGTTGAGACGGAAAATCATAGTTTAGTAACTAGCCATCTACACTGGCATGGCAACATAAAAAGACAAAGGTAGAACAGAAGTAAATAAAATTTAGTTTGTATATCATCCAGTAAATGATTGCAAGGCTTTCCCTTGGCCAAGGGCACAAAAAATATTGTGCAAATGGTCAGGTCAACTGAAGTGTAAAAACTGAAGAACTTGGTCCAAGCACTTATTACTTTCCTTCTTCGAATTAGAGTTCAGGATTGAAGAACTCGCGTAATTAGGGGTCAAGTAACCAACACAAACAGTGACAATATTCATTTTGTCTAGATGTGAATAGCTCTGAAAGACAGATGTATTTGGATGTTTATCTCATGACAAGAGATGTGGTACTAGCACATGTCCTTTGAGTAGTAAATTGCTATCCATGAATGCATCAGTCCAAAGCCTGACGAGTTTTTCCTGAAGATAATTTTAGCAGAAAACATTAGTCAATTGGTTAGTTATGAATGACACTTATAAATACTACACTTGGTCTCTACTCATGAGAAGTTCTTCAATGGAGTTGGGTGTACCAGGTTGGTCTTGTGGTTTGGAAAATTCTGGATGGGATTGAACATTAAAGAGCTTTTCCCATGTTCCTTCCAATAGTTACAAGAGATTTGTAAGCCTGGAGACAAAGGTGGTCCCTCAATTGTACAATATGATGAATTGGCTTTGGTGCTTAGTTGAGTTTGTGTAATGTCTGCTGTGCCCAATGGACTGGAATAAATCAAGTACAAGTATCGCATGTGCCACACCCAAGTCTCAAAGGAGAGGTCGTAAAAAGAATACCCATTGTATATATCCCATGTTGGTGTTATCCTTCAACGCAAATGAATGTGCTTGAAGTTTGTGTAAAGCTCCTTTCAAGTGTAAAGTCTTAACAATTGTTTGTTATTTCGCCGCAGGTGTATGTGTGGTAGCGAGATAAGAACTTTCCGACATCACATCCTTGCTTTGTTACGCGCTTATATGAGACTGTGTGCCAGGAATTTCGATGGTTTTTTGTATACGCGGCGGAACATAAAAGCTGGGTGGTTTTTCGATACATTTTTGTCAATGATTCAAGGTTGGGGGGCGTTGGATAGCCTGCTTCTAATGCAAAATATAATATGAACTCTAGTCGGGGTAGAGCGAGGGAGGGTTTCTGGTAGAATTTGAGTGTCAGCTAGTTATCTCATACTGATTGGAAGCGCGAATGGGTCTTGGAAAGCTTGAAGATATATTGGCAACACTCCGAACTTTGAAAGCGCGCAGTAGCCACAAAAGCAAATGATGGTGTGATTGTATGTTCGATGATTGTGTGAGTATTGTGTGTTTATTTCATCGTGAAGTATCCGCACGATCCAGTCGGTCGGTGCCGAAAATGTCGGATCAGAAGCAGATGTAGAGAACTGGGTGTATAGATATATAGATTTGTTGATTCGGTTGCTGTTGATCATGTTTTAATGAAGAACCTATTGCTCCTCCTGAGAATGTTGCTGTAGGGTGTAATGCCTTTCCGGATATCCTGCTACCTGATTGTTGCTCTTTAAAACAAAGCTGTCTCTGGGGGTGTAGCTTCTGCCGCTGCTACAGGGTATGGGAATACATGTGTAGCTGATGAGCGTTCCTCTATAGTATGGTAATTTGGTTAGCTATGTATCAATTAACGCATATAATATAGTATGCAGATACATGAAGGAGGGGCTAGGCCTCGATGTATCCCAATGTGCGCCATTGCCATTGCCTTTGGGCCGGTAGACGGTATCCCCTTTTGCCAGAGAGAATCTCCGATCCTAGGAAGGCTTCAAACGCTGCGCGGTGTTCTTCGAAGCTCTGCCGAGAGATACTAGATATGCCAACGATCACTACAGCCAATTCAACTCAAAGGGATATTGCAGTGGCTTCACAAGTCTTCCGGTCTTCTCCTAGTTCTGCGAAGGGGTTTCCACTATGAGTTGCCGCAGCTAATCATAACTCGATACCCAAGCTACTGCTGTGGGATCTGGCGTTTTTCAACCTGTTTGGAGCTTCTGTGGAAGGGTGTTGAAGAATACGGCAGTTGCTTTAGCTGGTTCGGAGTGATAATGCTGCCGTAGATGTATAAGGTACCTATGCAGCCTTTCTTATGCTCTAAAACGAAACGGAATTCTATTAGTTGTTGATTCCAGTTAGTTCAAAACAAAACAGAATACTGCTGATCCTCCAAATAGGTACAACAAGATAGGTAGCTTTGTTTCCAAGGTTTGGTCCCCCTTCAACAATAGTTTTGGGGAAGTCAGCCTAGTAACGAGAGTGCTCTGGAGACCTTTCCGCTTAGTGTCTGTATACTTTCTTTGGCACTGTAACCAAGTTGGCATCTTTCTCAGGTCGTCTTGCACTTTTCTTTATTGATAGAACAGTGTAAAAATACTCTTATCTAATCGGGGCTTCAAGCAGGTAATGTTTTTGGTTGGAGTACACTCTTTATGCTATTCCCTTACCCGGGCCTCACTGCTGTCAAATTTGAGTTTTGCCCTTGAATATTCCCGTCAAGCACATACCCGGCTGGGCACCTTAGTTCGCATTACTTGGTTGTCAAATTCACCTTACCCCACGCCGTCAAATTATTCTCCTCGCCTTGTCCAACCTACACCATTACCATATCAACTTCTCAGCATAACTTTTATTGTCAACTGCGCAGCAAAGCTATCACATTTCCAAATCTACTACTAAATTGATAAAACGAAAGTGCTAATTTTACGGCTTCCATCAAAGGCAATCGCCCAATTCTTTTGAGGTAAGATCGCGTCAATCTCACCCCTACTCCTCCATTCCGCATCCTCACTTGAACAACCCCATTGTTATCAGCGGATTCTGCGGTATTATGCGCATAAGAGACTTGCCATGGTATCGTACAATCAATCATTGTTGTTTTTGTCCTTCGACCTTGGGTCTTTAAGCGTTCGATCCTATAACCAACGAAATCTTGCTTTCTCCTCCGCACTATCAGCGAGCATCATTCTCAAGCTGACAATCAATGAGCAACATTTGCACGATTAATGGATCTCTGAAGGTGTTCATCAGATCCTAATTAATCTTTACGCTACCCCTTCATCCATTCCCTCCTTCCTTCGCTGCCATCAATTTCAAGCCCCGTCGATCTTGCCTTAGCTAACATCATTCACTACCAACAGTATCTAGCCACCACTGTCACCACCTCTATCTACCATTTCCGATTTTAATTTATCGCATCCCGTATACGATCAATTTTTCGCCCACAACAAAACCCCGTAATCTCCACCATGGAGACTTATGGGAAGAAGAAGAAAAATGCTCTGATGGGCTCGTTCGCATCTCTTAGAAACAATCAACAAATCAAAGCAAAGAAGAATAGAGCTAGCAAGAGAGGTAAGTGATTGTTCTATTTCCTCACCTGAAATATCAATCCGTTGAAACGGCTGTACTCCACCTTCATGTTTTTATTGTTTCACCACGTCTCCTACCACGCTTGGCAATCCAAACCGTCCATTAGTTCGATTCGAACTCACTGTGTTTCCCAAATCACCTTAGATGTCATCAAATTGGAAGTGAAGCTAATATAAAGTTATCAACAGAGTCGAGCACGCGCCAGTTAGCGGCTTTTCACTCTCCGGCCAGCACTAAAGAACAGCAACCAGTCAGAGAAACCCCGAGTGAAGACGATGGTGGATCGATAGATGAGATTGCCATTAATAAGCCACGCGATAAACCCACAACTACCGAGAACACCCTACCACAATTGCCCAGTCTCAATTTCAGTGAAAATGAGATGTGTATCACCGGCAAGAGCACGGTCACCGATACTGACTTCTCTAATGGGACCGCCAAAGCTTCATTACACTCAAGGAAGAGTTCGGCGCCCCCTATTCCTAGGAAATCGTCCAAGAGACAATCCGCGTTAAATAAGACATCTCGTCGTAGGAGCCCAACCAAGGAGTCTCAAACTCGAAGATTTCCAAAAGGACCACTTCTTCGGACATCGGGCGGCCTTGAAGAGCAATCACGCTTAATTGTCAGTCCTTCTGATCCGAATGTGATTAATTCTTCTGTTGCGCAAACATTCAAGGCAATGGAAGAACTCAAGCCAGGATCAACAAATACTTTGGTCGTCGAAAAAAAGAGAAGATTAAAGGCCGGGGCTTTTCTTAAGGTCAAAAATGTATTACAAGGAAGCTTTCGCCGCAGAAAGAATGATAATAGCCAAGAAAATTATTTGGTTCAACCACCCTTCGTCAACTCACCAACAATCCAAGAACAACCTGATAGACGCCCGGAACCACTTAGTGGCACAGACCTGGGACTTAATGAAGGTAATTCGAATGATGATCTTTTTTATCCAAGATTGGCGAAACTAATTCTCTCTAATAGTGCAAAATTTGAAAGAAAACTCAAAGCTGCAAAAGATGACAGGGAATCTCAAAATCCCCAGGAAGCCACTCAACAGTGATGTAAGATCTTTCCACAGTCAGAATTCGGCACTCACAGACCCATTTACCGAGTCACCAAGTTCAAGTGAGCAAGTTATTCAACCTTCGACCTTCGGTAGCCAGATGCCTGAAACTGGATCGGCGCCGGAATTCTCCAGTCTCGATCGCACAAATAAGAATTCTTCAGCCCATCAAAGCAACACAGACTTCGATGATCTGGACTCACTACTTACGTCTAGTCCCTTAGCTCAATCGACACCAAGATTGCGGCTAGTATGTAACCATACTGATCCAGACAGAACTAGGAGAATGTACAAAGTGGATGCAGGCTCACCGTCTGTTCTCGACCACAACACGTTCGCCGAGGATAGCGAAATATACCAAGGCATGTTGGCGGGTAGTCCTATCAAACCCAGAGATCAGGCTCAGCCTGAGCACCTTCGCAATCTTGTTCAGCACGTTGGATTGTTAAGGGAGAAGACAGTCAACAACTTTGTCGCTGCCGTGCAAACCCTATCCGGATCTACAAGTGATTCAGGCTTTGCTCCTCTCAATCGAAAGTGGAAGAAGAACCCATCTCCCAGCAAGGCAAGATTGGAAGAACTAAGTAGGCGTCTTCCATATTTCCCCGACCCAGAACCTATTCTCTACCGCAGCCACAAGCATAAGGATAGTAAAGACATCAACAAAGCAACTTTTGCTTCACGGGAAAAGCGCAAGACAGACGATCAAGAAAATAAGGAGCTCTTGGAAGGACTGCTTACTTCTGATGAAGACGAACCAAATCCAAGTCAAGAATATGAAGCGAAGACAGAAGAGTTGTCACAGAGCCCACGAGCACTAGCAAGATCGTCGGCTTCTTTGCCTCTAATCAATCTCTCGTCTAGGCCAATGTCGTTGAGTCAGTCATCCCCAACCTTTGGCGTTGAAGGTTTGGAGGTAAGAGCTTCTGCTCAACCTAGAAATCTAATGGACCAAGATGACTCGATGATGGATCTGGATGAATTACAGTCAGTCCAAGAATCTTCTCCACTCCAGACATTTTACGATGATGTGGGCAATGGTGATCTGATTGAGTTTTTGAATTTTATCTCTCTTTTGCTAACCAAGGATTTTCAGATGGGACGAAACTATGTATGATGTCGGCATGAGACATTACTAGAACTCATCCGACTACGATTTCCTATACCTTTACTAGGTTCTGTCTATATGTTGTTACGATACCCTACGATTTCCTTGCAGTTTTCTCGATTCCGAGTTGTGCTGTTATTACCTGATTCATTACTCATGCGACTGTTTTCTCGTGCTCTTGATATTTCTCTTTTTGACATAGTAGACGGCCTTGCTTAGACGACTTCTAACTCAGACTTAGCAGCATTTGTGCTTCTATGAGCCGTCTTCAGAGTTGATCAACTTGTTATGGTTCTAATTTCATCTCAATGCCGTACTTTGCTTATATGTTTGGAGGATAATAATGGATTGTACGATACGAAAGGATGTGCAAATGACTCAGGACGATATTTACAAGCTTGCTTTTGCCTTTTCATGCTTTCTTTGGTGCTTTTTTTATTTTTTTAAATCACATCTTGCCTGGTTGGTCAGGGTTGTGAGATAATGGTATGGACAAATGGACAGCTCGATTTTCACATCTGGTCTGTTCAGTTGGGAATGGGTTAATGTTTGAATGGATACTTGATTTGCAGGGGAGGTGGGAGAATATGCAGGAGGATTATGAGAGATTGTGCTTCGGAAGTTGAGATGAGTACTTTAGGCGGGTTTCGTGGTGGATATTTGACGGCTTTCAAGGTGGGACTTGATCGCATAGCATCTGGTGCACAGTTGACGATATGTTTCTCATCTGAGACTTTGTTGACAATTGATATACCAGATGACATAGGGTTTGGGAAAACAAGGATGGCTACTTGCTGCCCAGTTGGACCACACTCACTTACGAACGATGACGAATAGACTTTTAAACAGGAAGGGTTTACTTCAACACAACTTGTGTTACATTATTTTTGATTTTAGTTAGGTTCGCCTTTTCATATGGCTACTGAATGGCATGATGTGGAACTAGGGCTTTGTATCTCCATCCTCATGAGGGACACTTACTCGGGTTGCATCACAGTACATAGATAGGCAGAATAGAATCAAATGTGTAGTTTGCTATAAACAACGTAGTTGTATGACGATATAATATGATGTGATGTGATACCAACAGGATGTTAAATCCCAACATACCAAACTCGCATGATCCTGTTGAAGGACAAAACACTAAAAAGTCAAAAATCAAAAACTAGAACGCAAGGAAACCTCCTCTCAATCACCCCCCGATAGTCTACAAAGTATCTCCACCCATCTCTCCGCTCATTTCCCTACTCGTGACGCCACGTCGTCCGTTTATTTCCCCCTCTCCATTAACTTCTCCATTTGAATTCTCACCATGAACGCCGTTTAGTTTTCCATTGACACTCTTGTCTCCATTTTTCATCACGTTACCAATTCCATTGCCATTTTTCTTCTCCTCCAAGCCCCGTCTGATATGAGCACTCAACCATTTTCCTTCCAAAGCTTTAGAGCTCATCTGTCCCGCTCCACTTATCTCTCCTACGCAAGAGGGAGTAGCACAGTTGCAGGAAAATGGCTGGGACATGGACCATTCGGTGGAAGGGTAGAAGAAAGTTAGTTCTTGGCCTACAGTGAGGCCGGTGTGGGAGGTGAGGATGGTGCGGTTTTGCACATCGAAGATCTATGGGAATGGTTTAGAGGAGGACTAGGGAGGGGGAGGAGTGGGAAGAGAGAACTTACGAGAGAAGGTTCACATGAATGATTGATGTACAATAAGTCTGAATTGAGATTCAAATGGGTGTTTGTACCTGTTTGGACAGTAGCATAAGTAGCTTCTGGGGCATCGGTGCATGGTGGGAATTCCTGCGATTGTGGTTAGCAATTACCCAAGACTTGGACTCGGATAGTAGTTCTATTGGCGAGGGAAAAAATACCATTTTTGCAAAAACAGCAAAAGGAGGAAGAGAAACTTTGGAGATGGATTTGGTGGTATATCCATTTTCATCTTCGCCGTAAATTACTTCTTGTATATGTGGGTGAGAAGGTTGAGACCAAAAGGGTTTGACAGGTGCCATCTTTGGGGATTTGAGGGGTTTGGAGGGGCTTGTAGGAATTCCGGATTGGGGAATTCTGAGGTTATTTATGGTGGGGTTTGGACGGGCTTGCTGATTTATTGAAGGACAATTGCTCCTCTCTTTCAATCGCTATGGAATGTACTGGGTAGAGTCTCTTTGTAGAGAATCTGTTGTTGAATTGAATAGTATTGTTTTCTATCGAGAAAGGAGAAGGAATCGATTCGAAGAAAGAAAGACAAAAAGGAAGATCTTAACACATGCTAATTGTCAAACTACTATACATAAAAGCTTCGTCCCGTACCTCCCACTGTCACTACCACTAGCTCCAGCTTACCACACTTCAGACATCGGCCAGAAGGATCTTTTCCCTTCTGGCGTTTTTAGAAATGTATGTGACACATCTCAAGTAGTCCTAATCACTTGAATTATCCAGTAATAAACAGCCTTATGAGAAACGCAATTCCTTTACCTTTTATGGTTACCTCATGTGAATTAACATTGCAAAGCCCTACGCAGAACACGCATGAGAAAGATGTCAGGTACCCGCCTTTTCGCGGGGCCAAATTCGAGATGTGAACCGAGGTATTTCTGAATTGCCGGTGGAGATGGAGAATTCTATGGCGATCATTCGTGTTTTGTATGATGGGAAACATTGTGAGCTGGTTTGCTTAGAGGGTGATGAAGGGAACAAGGTAAATTGGGAGGGAATGAGGTCGAAGTTATACATCGATGTCCATATTTGCTAATTATGTGGTTGTATTTCCATCGAAAGAGTGGGGTTGATCATATGCACTCGTTTCCCAAATGAAGGGGTACCGGTACTGTAGCTTACAAGATCGCCAGTGGATGTGTGTGTATTACATAAGCACTCTCTCATCTCAAGTGGCATTAATAAACAAACATACTTGATCTTGGCATTTGATATATATTTCAATGGTTCCCGATTGGATATTCAAAGGAGGAAGAGCACACAACTCATCGTTTATGAGCATTGATATCGAGATGCATCTTGTCATCTAAAGCATCAGAAGGTAGGCCCGACTACTCAATATCAATTGGCTTGATAAAATCTACGTCTACGTCATAATGAGTGACGTTATGGTGCTCCGGAGAAGAGCTCCTGTCATACTAGATAGGCATTCATTCAATGTAGGCTTTCATCTAGCTAGATTAGAAATTGGATAGCTAAGTTGGATATATCTTCTTGATATCTCTCTTTTGAATCTTTTTTGATCAACTTATTGATTTTTACTCCCACATCTCTTATATCTCACATCAACAAAGTTACTATATCCGCCTCGCCACAGAAGTAACCTCAGTCACCATGGAAATCACAAAGGTAAGTTATCACTTCCTATTTCAATCTTCAAAACGCATCTAACAATCCACAGGTAGGAATGATAGGAGCCGGTTCCATGGGAGGAGGAATGACACTTCTCCTCGCCGAAAAAGGAATCTCAGTCTCTATTCAAGACCCCTCCTCTTCCACCGTTGATTCCCTCATCCAATCCGCCAAAGACCAAAATATCACTTCTGGAACTCTATCCAAACATACTGAATACAAATCTCTCTGCGACTCCCTCTCTTCTCCAAAAGTCATATTCTTTTCCCTGCCACATGGAACGGTAGGTGATACTGTCGTCGAGGGACTTCATCCATATCTCGAGAAAGGAGATATAATAATCGATTTCTCGAATGAGAATTGGAATAACACACAACGTAGACAGGGGAAATTGGTCGCACAAGGTGTGTATTATATAGGATGTGGTGTCTCTGGAGGCTACCAAGCTGCCCGACGAGGACCGAGTATGTGTCCCGGAGGTCAAGAACAAGCTTTAAACATCGTCATGCCTTTACTAGAGAAAATGGCTGCGAAAGCGAGGGATGGATCACCGTGTGTAGCGAGAATTGGAGAAGGGGGTGCGGGACATTACGTGAAGATGATTCATAATGGGATTGAGCATGGAATGATGAGTGCGATTAGCGAAGCGTGGACTTTTATGAATAAACATCTGGGAATGAAATATGATGATATTGGGAAGGTATTTGAGAAGTGGTCTGCTGAAGGGGAATTGGTATGTGTTGTTCCCACTCCTATGTTCGGTCAATTTCACCCGCTAATCGAGATTAATAGAAAAACACCTTCCTCGTAAAAATCGGCGCAGATATCTGCGAACAAAAAGATAAATCCGGAAACCATGTCCTAGCAGATGTTCAAGACAAAGTTGTCCAAGACATCGATGGATCAGAAGGAACCGGTATCTGGTCCAACACCCAAGCCACTTCTCTTCACGTGCCGGCCCCAACTCTCTCCACCGCACACTACCTTCGCATTGTATCAGCCTATCGTGAACATAGACAACAGGTCAACGAAGCATTCCACGATTCATTCAAACCCTCGAAAATCTCGCTCAAGAATGAGCAGGAGAAAGAAAGTATCGTAGAGGACTTAAGAAAAGCAGTTTACACAACCTGTCTAGCGTCTTATGTCCAAGGCATGAGTATCATCGATAAAGCCAACCGTCAGAATAAATGGAATATCAACTATAGCAATATCGTCAAGATCTGGCGCGCGGGCTGTATCATTCAAAGCGATCATATCTCATTTCTCCTCTCTCAAATCTATACTCCTTCCTCCTCTTCCACCAAATCAGAAACTCCAGACCTTCTCTACGCTTCTCCCATCGTCTCCAAACTAACCTCCGGATTCGAACCCCTCAAGCGCATCGTACTAAAAGGCGTAGAACACAATGCCATCACGCCGAGTATATCAGCTACACTGGAGTATCTCAAATACAGCGGGAACATGGAATTGCCGACGCAGTTTTACGAGGCGGAGCTGGATTATTTTGGGAAACACATGTATGATAGTAAGAAGTTGGATGATGAGGTGGGGGAACCGGAGACCGGGAGGAGACACTTTGAGTGGAAGAAAGCTTAGGTTATGGCGGGGGTAGGAGAGAAGGAGGATGGGGGCGGGATATAATATATTTGAATTTATGAGTACACTGAACAATCCATGATGTAAAACTATAGTTTGTAACGAGATAAAAGATCACTATCAATCTAAGAGCATTCTGCGAGAATCTTAGATTTCTGAATGTTAACATAATATGGATTGCATAGCAAATTACCTGCGTCGCCGAGCCGTCGTGATAACATGCACACGGTATACAGTTACCAGATAGTCATTGGAAATTAAATCTATGTGAACTTCGTCACAAGCCATATCACTGTTGATAAATGAAGTCGAAGTTGAGAACTTGGATTTTGGAAATAGAAGGGAGGCGAGGGAAGCTGGGTCGTCTACCGAGAATAGGGGTGATGTAGTCCAACTTGAAAATTTTATTGTCTCTCATGTGTCATGCCCACGATATTTAATTCTATGGCCAAATCATCACGTCAACTTTTACAATAGGTGATGAGGTATTCATTGAAGTAATATTACTCCTCATTCATTAACCGCAAGCTTCCCGTTCGTCTAAGAACCAACCTGCACACCTCCATTAGGGTGCAAACTTTGTCCGCTAATAAAACTACTGTCCGCACTCGCCAAGAATACAAAACAAGTTGCGCATTCTGATGGTTGACCGGGACGACCCATGGGAGATGTGAATTCTTTTTGTGCTTTCTCGTTCATGGTTGCGGGGATAAGAGGGGTCCAGATGGGACCGGGGCAGACGGCGTTGACGCGGATCCCCTTGCTGATTTGTTGGTTAGAAAGGGCGCGGGTGAAGGCTACGATAGCACCTTTGGTGGAAGTATAGCTGGGGAGTTGTTAGTGGCGGGCTTGAAGAAAGGGGGAGGGGGAAAACTTACTCGAGAAGATCTGGGCGACCGATGTATGGGTTTACGGAAGCGCAGGTGATGATTGTATCACCGCGGGACATTTGTGGGAGGACATATTTGGAAAGGAAGAAGAATGGATGGATGTTAACATCAAAAGTGTTAATCCATTGATCTCTATTTTCATCATTAGCATCATATACATATTGTCCGGGTGGGATGGGAGGTCAGAGCATACTCAGTTAACTCATCAATGGTCTCCACCATCATCTGAGTACCATGATTCAGGACCAAAATGTTGATTCTTCCCATAGCCTCCTTAGCTTTCTCGACTACATTTTTACAAGCCTGCTGGCTCTTCAAATCTGCCGAGAACAAATGGATCTTTCCTCCCTTGGCCTCAACCAGCTTCTTGGTTTCTTGTGCATCTTTTTCTTCTTCGGGTGTATAGATGATGGAACTTTCTGCTCCTTCCATAGCATATAAGATGGCGACGGCACGACCAATTCCACTATCCCCACCGGTGATGAAGGCTTTCTTGCCCTTTAGTTTACCGGCGGCGAGATATGGTTGGTAGCCTCCATCGTCGGTGGGGAGTTGGTCGTTGATGGCTTCTTTTGGCAGTTCGGTTTGTTGACCTGGAGCGGAAGATTGGTGGGACACGGGAGGTTGATGACCTGCAAGATATTTATGTCAGTATATTGTTGAAGTGATACCGACCGTATGGTGGTGTGAGGGGTATTGGAAGTTTGTCGAGCTGAACATGAGGGGAATTGGGGATATCTTCATAACGTACCCTGTTCGAAATGACCCTTGCTTGCAGACATATTTGATTGTTCGAATGTGTTTCGATGGGTTTGGTTGAGTGATTTTGGTTATTGAATTTGATGGTATCAAAGTGATTAGAGAATAATTGTCTATGGAAAAAGAATTCTTAACCAATTTACGCAGAACTTCATCTTTTCTTATACTCATCAACAATATGATGCACCTTGTCCAAAAGCTATGTGACGATCACCATACACTTCTCGATCAGAAAAGGGACCAAAAGCTCCGAAACACTCCATATAAAACGAGGACGATTGGTTAAGCGCATTATGATATCAATGCTTGATACTCAATGGAGGGGTAGCTCCTAAAGATTTCGGTCCTTTCGAGTCGAGATCCATGATGTAAGGAGTTTTATGGGATCGAGAATGGTCTCTCATGATGGGTAAGTGAGGTAAGAATTGAGATGCACATAAGTTCATTGGTTCAGAAAGTCGGAGTGAGCTTTAACTTACATCGGACTTTGACTTTCTACGTAATCGAGGGGGTCGACCCGGAAGCATAACCGAGAAGGCTTGGCGAATCGGATGAACATCGAGATTGTGAAATGCCATCTAAAATTGACGACTAAGTACTGAATTGCGATCCATTTAACTTTTTACTGCGAAAGTATAAGAGACCAGAAATCCCTTTCTCGTTTTTACATTTTTGTATTGCACGAATTATGATTGTGGTTTTAATTCATACCTCAGATCTCAACGTGACATGTTGAAACGAATGTCAAGATCCAATCCGCATGCTTTTATGCAAATATCTTATACTCCCACAGATATTGGTTATAGATAATCACCTTCATATCTGCTCATCATAGAGTAGGCATCTCTACCTCATGTAGTCATGAAGTGAGCCCGCATCTCGTTTTATACGCTGCCGTTGTTCAGATATGTTGGGCTGCTAATGGGAGTGTAATTGCTATCGTCTAAATAGTCTCAACAACAAATTCTTTTCTCAGTTCTTTGCGTTGTTCATTTGTATTTGTATCTGCATCTGTATCTGCATCTACCTATATCTTGCCTGCCAGTTTCAGTGGGTACACTTGATTGTCATTTCCTGTTCCTGGTTTTCCTTTCCATCCTTAATCTTCTTTTCCATCAATCACCCGCCACCCTTCATCCAACATGCTCAGCACCAGCCACAAATAGTTCTCAGCACAGCCACCCGCCACAACCCACCGACGTCATTCCCAATCCATCCTCGTTAAAATCAAGTTTCTCTCTCGATGCTCACCAAATTCGAAAAGACATCAACCATCCTGCCATCTCTGCCTCCTGGGCAATTCAAGCATCATGAGCCACAGGACCCTGAAAATTCTTATTAGCACTAGTACAGAAGTACCGTCAGCCAAGACCATTTCCCCAGCAATTTTCAACCTAATTTATCCACTTTCATACAAAGATTCCGGAAAATAATCCTCTCAAGACAACTTGCTTCCTTCCCATTCGCGTGAATTTCTTTAATCCCTTCCAAGATGACGTGAAATCGACCAGGACTTGATACCTGTATATTTCCTTATCAACACTGACAACTTGCTTTGCCGTCGTATGTACATCACATAGATGATCTCTTCTCTCATTATCACACATTCACCACTGTTGCCAAAATTACATCGAGATTACAACTCTTCCCAGTTTGAAGTCCCTAACCCACAATTTCCCTGTATTCAGGAACTCCTACGCTCATCAAACACTCTCTATAAAGACATCCGATATGTCCCCTCATGTTCCAGTTCCCATACCATTAAAATCATCTTCACAAACACAAATCGTACCCAGAATAAAAAACGACGACCAATTACCTGATAAAGCCGCATTAAGAACTCTATCTTCTTTCATCAAAACTTACCGAACCACCTCAAATCAATCTACTACTTTCATACCAATACCACAAGAAACCCAATCTCACACTCCACAACCTTCACCTCTCTCACAAATCCATACACTACCACAGTTCCCCACCACAACACCACCACCACCAAACCAAGACCTAAATCTCAAAATGGCCCACACAACCACAACCGTTACCACCAAACCCTCCCTCCTCTCCCGTCTCCGCGGCGCCAAAACCCACCGTCGCACCTACGAAAACACCACCACCCACAGCACCCACCACCGCAAACAACGCACATGGGGTGGACGTCGTCGCGCCGGCGTCACCGCACAGCCCGTCCACCACCACCACCGCAAGCCCAGCGTCGGTGACAAGATCAGCGGTGCTCTTTTGAAATTGAGAGGAAGCTTGACCAGGAGACCTGGCTTGAAGGTATGATATATCTACATCACTCCACTCTACTACTTATTTCCTTGGAAAATATACACTAACACAGTAAACAGGCAGCTGGAACCCGCAGAATGAGAGGAACTGATGGAAAGGGTAGTCATCACACTGTTGCATATTAAATTACCTTGCCTCTCTTACTTTACATTACACTACATTGTACTATACTATACCCTTTTACCTTTTCACACGCATAGACGCATGGATGGATGGATGGATAATTGCATACATGCATCACGAATTACGAACGACCGATTGTATTATATGGATATAAATGGATACGGCGATACCCAGAGCGGAGCAGAGGAGATGGAAGTTTTTTGCTGTTAATGAAGTTGAAGTGAACGTTTTAGCGTAGCGAGCGGGACTTTATATCTAAAGGAATATCAACAAATTTTTACATAAACTATCGATTGTATTCTATTATGACATCAAATGACATGTTTTGTTGAAAATTAAAATATTTGGTTTAATGTGAACGCTGGTACTGACTGACATTCATATTGACATGGTATTGGTACAAAAATGTTCTACATACCCCTAAACTCCGGGTGATATCCCCATATCTATCCATTGTACAGTAAAAAAATATTGACATACACATGTCGCTTCGATTCGCTTAAGCGCATCATAAAACATGAAAGACTTTCTTTGTATACATCCATCCACTGCAGAAACCTTGTTCAAATTCTTAACGATTCATTTATTTATCGTCAAACCATCTGCCCCATCCACTCTCTTTTCCTCTCTCAGCCCCCGCACCACCAGCATATTTCTTCTCCTCCTCTTCCCACTTTATCCTCTCGACTCTTGATCTCGCCAGAAAGGCCCGCGCAAATCTCCATGCTTCTGTATCAGCTAAGTTCCACGCCTCAACAGCCCCCCTGATCTTCAAATCCTCCTTCGCAGTGCTCCCACCAAATGCTTTTGCCTTTTCCAATAAAAGTGCTTCCTTATTCTTATCCTCCTCCGTGGGTATTGGCCCGTCTTTTGGATCGTGAACTGGTTTTGGCCTACGTTCTGGACCTGGGACTGGAGTTTCTGATTTTCCAGTGTCAGTTGCATTGCGAGGGATGGTGAAGCCGAAATGCCAGTCTAGGTCTGAGGGAACTTCCTTCTCGGCTGTGAGCCAGAGGGAATGAGATGTTCCATGAGGACTAGCGACTGCCTCTTTGAATTTAATGATTCGTGGAGTACCCGAAACACCTGTACCGAGAAGTTCTTTGGTAAGTGTGGAGAGCCAAGCATCACGAGGAGACTCTCGTCTGATCCACGGAACATCAATACTCTCTTGGAAGCTGGTCAATGTAGACATTGTGTAAGGATGGGGAACAGTTCCAATGGTATAAAGACCTGATGTATTGCGGTAGAAAGCAGGTGTAGTAATTGTCATCGGAGACGAAGCGACACATGGCTTGCACTTTGGTCGATTTGGAGGGCAAGATGCTGGCATTGGTGAATCAGGACATTGTGCAAGATATTCAGCAAGTTGTAAAGCTGGTTCAACAACATATGACATGTGTTCTGGTTCCGGTTTAACGACGGAAATTCCTTTGGTAAAGATGTTTTGCCATGTTTGATGAAGATGAGATACCATCAGATTGTTCAATAATTTCATACCCGCTGCTTTATTCCCTTCATACTCTTTCGCAACTTGTGGATATTTCTCCTCGAGAGTTTTGGTCTGATAGAAAGCCAAGGAATCATGGGAAGGATCGATCTCGAAAGTATCTGTTGGGACAGCACTAATGAAATCTTTGGCATCTTTCAAACTTGGGTTTGCTAAAGCCACTTTGACAGCTGCTGTGATATCTGCCTTGGATCCTGCGAAGATACCACTTCCCATTTTTTCATATCTCGTCAATAATGGATATACTCCTCTTCTCAGATAACTTAGAGTTTGGTCTTCGTAAGGACCCATTGGAAGCGTGAGGTAATTGCAAAGTAATCCGGTTCCCATGTTTTCCCAAGCCAACCATCTGGTTAGATCTGTTTTCAAGGAGTTTTCGACTTCAAGTCGTTGTAATTCGGGATATAATGGATTGTTCATGGCTTCCGCAGGACTTAAAATAATAGGTTTGAAGCCTTGCGCCCACCATGCCCTTCTCCAAGTGACCAAGACTGCATTCTCTGCATCTTTCAACTCATTGTCCTTTTCTATTGTATGATCGTAGTATGTATAAATGGTTGGACGTTCAACGAGAGGTGGTAGTAGGGATCGATTTTCGTCTAAAGTCACCGATGATGAAAATGGACTCAACCAATTCCAATTAGCATGCCATTTCGATTCGCCGTATTCACTATTCTTCTGAACCGGTGGAGCATGTGCTGCTTGTCGGAATGGATTGAGGATACTCGGCGAAGGCAACTGCTTAGGAAGTTTGGGTAATGATATGCGATGGTCTGTAAATTTGCCGAGTGATGGGCCGGATGGTATCGAGTTGGGTAGAGTAAATACTAATGTGATAACAGCGAAAACTGCAATGGTGCCGAGAAGAACGGCCATGCGACGCGGGGGGACATGAGGTATGGGTGTCCCAAAGAAGGTTCGTTGAACAGGCATTATGAGAAAGAGAATAGAGACAAAAGGATTATCTATTAAATGACCAGACCGATGCTTTCCAGTACCACATTGAAAGATCGAATGATAAGTTTAGATACGAAAAGATTGATGAAAGTTGTCCTCTATATGAGCTGACGTATACCGCCTGTGTATCAAACGCAAGTACGTACAATGAAGGACTTCGTTCAAACCCTAGACTTTCTTGGAAGGAAAGTCTTAGCTGGGATAGATTCACCTGCCAAGGGAGTGAAGTTTGAGTAGGTATGTATAGAAGTTTAGAAAGAAGACAATGTGGAGAAAGGACAGAAATTGAAATAAAGTATTAAAGTTGTCGCGAATCGAGAATGGAGATGTTTGACATTCGAATGATTCTATCATAGATAGGAGAAAAATAATGTGTCTTGGTCTCTTTACCCGCCAAAATCAAGGGTCGCGTCTAATTTGATTGGTTCTATCTAGGAAGAGAAGGAACGGATTAACTTTTCTCCTTTCTCCTTTCTCCATTTCTTTGGAGATCTCAATGGCAACTCAAGACTCAAGAGGTACGCTCGAGGTACTGGACTGGCTCGACTGGGTACGTATCTACGATAACCACGTGATGGTCCGATGACGGAATGAGATTTCTTTACTTGGCATACGATTTGGAACTGAAAAATGTCGGTTGATCTGCGGCTGAACTTTTCTGTATTGGAGCTGTGGCAGAAAATTGATGGATGCATGAATGTATGACTCCCAATTCTTTTCTCCATACAATTGAATTTTCTATAAAGCGGAAGAAGATCTCGACATATCTCTATTCCCTTTTCTCTTCTCTCTTTTCTTTTAAGCCACTTCCCAGTTCATACCCGTAAACCACCCATCTTCCCACTCTCCGCACACAACGATTGATTTTCTCGTCTTAAAACGTATCAGTGACTCATACGCCCAACAGTATCACGGAAACCTTTCAACGACTGATTCAACTCCCCCGTGGATACGTTGATTCAAACATACAAAGTTCGAGTATAGAAACATACAAACGGTACTTGGAGCCTGTTTTGATTTGAAGTAGGTAGTTGAAATCCTTCTCATATCTAAACAGTTCAAGCATCCTTTAAAATCTTGCTCAACTTTTACCCCTCCAAACCCCACCATTCAAAAAATTCAAAAAACCTAACAAACATGGCATCAACAAACTTCGAATTACCAGATCCAACATCAGATCTTCATTGGTCTGCTTTCCGTGGTGCTATCCAAGATATCTTCACCGCAAATGCTGAAGCTCATCCTGATAGACTTTGTGTTGTGGAAACTGCCTCAACTACCTCTCCAAGGAGAGAATTCACCTACCGACAAATCAACGAAGCTTCAAATATCCTAGCTCATCATTTGGTGGAGCGCGGAGTTCAACGAAATGAAGTCGTCATGTCATATAGTTACCGTGGTGTGGACTTGGTTGTCACTGTCATGGGTATCTTGAAAGCCGGTGCTATATTCTCAGTTATCGATCCTTCATATCCTCCTGATCGCCAAAACGTCTACCTTGATGTTGCAAGACCAAGAGCTTTGGTTGTTATCGACAAAGCTACTAGAGAGGCTGGGGAATTAACGGAGAAGGTGCGCAATTTCATCGCCGAAAATCTGGATTTAAAGACCTACATCCCAGGTCTCGAATTGAAGGACGATGGAACTTTGGTCGGTGGAGATGATCAAGGGAAGGATGCTTTCCAAGCCCAACAATCTTTGAAGGCTAAGAGTCCTGGTGTTATTGTTGGACCCGATTCTACACCCACTTTGTCATTTACCTCCGGCTCAGAAGGTCGTCCAAAGGGTGTTCGAGGAAGACATTACTCTCTTGCATATTACTTTGACTGGATGGCCGAGAGATTTGGCTTGTCTAAGAATGACAAGTTCACAATGTTGAGTGGTATTGCTCATGATCCTATTCAAAGAGATATCTTTACACCTCTCTTCCTTGGTGCTCAATTACTGGTTCCATCCAAGGATGATATTCAACATGAAAGATTGGCCGAATGGATGAGAGAGCACGGTGCCACCGTTACTCATTTGACACCCGCAATGGGTCAAATTTTAGTTGGTGGAGCTAGCGCCGAATTTCCAGCTCTTCATCACTCCTTTTTTGTCGGAGATATTCTGATCAAGAGAGATTGTAAGGCGCTTCAGAAATTGGCACCAAATGTGTTCATTGTGAACATGTACGGAACAACTGAAACACAGCGTGCAGTCAGTTACTACGAGATCCCAAGTCGAGCTTCGGATCCACAATATTTAGAGAATATGGGAAATGTGATTCCAGCTGGTAAGGGAATGAAGGACGTCCAATTACTTATCGTTGATCGCGAAAACCGAAACCGCATCTGTGACATTGGAGAGATTGGCGAGATTTACGTTCGAGCTGCTGGGCTTGCTGAAGGTTATCTTGGGAGTGACGAGCTCAACAAGGCCAAATTCATCGACAGTTGGTTTGTTGACAATTCCAAGTGGGTCGAGGAAGATGCAAAGAACGCAAAGTCATTATCTGAAGAACCTTGGAGAGAATTTTATAAGGGTCCAAGAGATCGAATGTATCGATCAGGTGATTTGGGCCGATATACTCAAACTGGAGACGTAGAATGTGTTGGTCGTGCAGATGATCAGGTCAAGATTCGTGGCTTCAGAATCGAACTTGGTGAAATCGACAAATTCCTCTCGGATCATGTCATGGTTATGGATAATGTCACTTTGGTCAGAAGAAACAAGGATGAAGAACAAACACTTGTCAGCTATATCGTACCTGATATGCAAAAGTGGGCGCAATGGTTAGAGCAATTAGGTCTCGAGGATGATACGTCCGGTGGTGAAGGAATTCAAGGAAGACTTCGAAGATTTTGGCCTCTCGGCGAAGATATCAAAAAGTATCTCAAGACTAAGCTGCCATCCTACGCCATTCCAGAAGTTATCATTCCTTTGGAGAAATTCCCTCTTAATCCAAATGGAAAGAAGGATAAGCCTGCGCTTCCATTCCCAGATGCTGCACAATTACAGGCAGCAAGACCTGTTGGTGCATACTCTGAGCTTTCAGATAGTGAGAAAGAGGTTGCAGCTATCTGGGGGTCATTAATCCCTACTGTTGATGAAAGAACAATCAATCCTGATGATTCATTCTTCGATATTGGAGGCCACAGTATCTTGGCGCAACAAATGCTCTTCAAGGTCAATAAAAAATGGACCGGTATCAACATCAACATGAGTGTCATCTTCCGAAACCCAACATTGAAAGGATTTGCCGCAGAAATCGCACGTAGATCATCATCCGATGGCGATGTGAAGGAAGAAGTAGAAGTTGCAGAGGATTATGAAGGAGACGCTCATGCCCTTGCCAAAACCCTCCCATCAACATTCCCCTCAGCAGATGAGAAGATCACTTCAACCACACCTCTTACCGTCTTCCTTACAGGCGCTACTGGTTTCCTTGGTTCCTATTTGATGCGCGATCTCCTCTCCCGCTCTCAGCCTATCAAAGTTATTGCTCACGTGCGAGCACTCGACTCTAAGGCAGCTCTCGATCGTGTCATTCAAACTTGCCAAGCCTATGGAGTTTGGGATCCTTCTTGGGAATCACGTATCTCCTGCGTCGTCGGTAATCTCGGGGAACCCCAACTAGGTCTCTCCCCAGAAGATTGGAAGACTGTATCCGAGACCGCAAATGTTATCATTCATAATGGAGCCCAAGTCCATTGGGTGTACCCATATCAAAATCTCAAGCCTGCAAACGTGAAGGGAACTCTCGACATTCTTTCCCTTTGCGCAACTGGTATTCCCAAACGTCTCTCCTTCGTCTCATCTACCTCTGTTCTTGACACAGACTACTTCGTCCAACAATCAAGATCTGGTGTCGCTGTCTCCGAAGAAGACGATCTCTCCGGTTCAGCAAAGGGTCTTGGAACAGGCTATGGCCAATCAAAATGGGTAGCCGAATATCTCGTCCGCACAGCTGGCTCCCGCGGTCTTCGTGGCACAGTTGTTCGACCAGGTTATATTACCGGTGACAAGACCTCCGGCGTAACCAACACAGATGATTTCCTAACCCGAATGGCAAAAGGTTGTATTCAGCTCGCCTGTCGTCCACGTATCTCCAACACGGTCAATCAAGTCCCTGTCAATCACGTCGCGCGTGTCGTTATAGCCTGCGCTCTTCACCCCGCTAAAACACCACTCGGTGTCGCTCAAGTTACAAGTCATCCCAGACTAACATTTTCTCAATACTTATCCACACTCGAAACATATGGTTACAATGCCCCTGAAGTCGAATATTCAGTTTGGAGTCAAAAACTCGTGGAATACGCTGCAAATACCAATCCGGAGAAAGAACAACATGCACTTATGCCTCTTTACCATTTCGCTACATCTGATCTCCCAGCTGACACCATTGCTCCAGAGATGGACGATGTCAATGCTGCTGCGTCACTTAAAGCGGATGCAGAATTCACGGGTGAGGATTTAGGCGCAGGTGATTATTTGGATGAGAACATCATGGGCAATTATCTTGCTTATTTGGCAGGCATTGGATTCTTGAGTTTGCCAGAGGAGGGGAAGGGAAAGAAATTACCGGAGGTCAAGATTAGTCCTGAGCAAAAGATTGCCTTGTTGAGAGTTGGAGGAAGGGGTGCATTGGTTTAAGGGGAGATTTGGATTTCTATTCGCAATCATATGGATAAGAAGTTACAGTTTCATAGGAAGCGAGCATAAATAACAAAAACAAATCGAAGAGCTCCTCTGGGGGGTATTCAGAATGTGCCCAGGTGTCCCTTTCTTTTATATTATGCTCATTAAAGTCTCATGCAGGGAGATACGTAAAGGTAGTCATGTGAAGTTCAACTGTGAGAGAAATTATGGCCAGGGTGAAATCGACGTCCCTGGACGCATTTCACGGTTCGAGAAACTTGATGAATAGTGGTGCTGTGTATGACAATTTCTGATACTATCACGGCGCTATTGTTCATAAAGCATACGGGCAAATTTTTAAATGCCAAATTGAATCCTCGGACGAAGTTCCGATCGCAGAAGACGGTGAGGATCAAAAGCTGAGGAAGGAATCTATACCGCTGGAAGTTTTCAGTCAAAAGGGCATCACATAATTGGTGACGGCAAGTTCAAATGGAGTATAGTGGTTCAGAGATTGCATTTTTTATATATATTGAAGTAAGGTCGCGAGTGATGGCAATTATTAAAGGTTGCGCTGAGCAACAAAGCATGTCGGCCAAAAGATATGGACCAAAATATCCACAACCCCCGAAAGGATTCAAGATACCTCGGTGAGTAATCGGACGAAAAATCAATCTTCTTCCTCCAAAAATAGGCCTATACCACAGGTTGAACCGATCCACGATGGGAAAGGGGGTAAGGGCCAGAGTGTTTGGGAAGTGTTGTATAATGCGGAAAGGGAAAAGGATGCGCGTGTGCGCCAAGGGGAGCACATTGAAAAGGATTGTATTGCTGTTAAATATTATATTATTTCGTGTATTCTATGTAGTTCAACGACTGTGCCAGTGTTCCAATCGATACAGTATAGTGTAGAAGAGCCCTGTCTTTGAAGCAATGTTAGTTTTGGGTTCATCAAGATACTACAGTAATAAAATGATAGATTGATTGCTTCGATCAGACATCCAAGGAAGATATACCCTCATCTGTCCTCTATTTAGGTTCTAAGGCGAGGACTCGAGTGAAAACTGCGAATGTGGTATGTGTTTCATCATAGTGAAGCGTAGGGGAAAGTGTGAAAAGTGAAAGAGACTAACCTTTGATAAATGTAAGCAGAATGACGATGTACTGTTTATTAGTTTTTCAAAATGAGATAGCAATTAAGTCGCGAAAAGATTTGCTGCGGCAGTGATCATGTTGGATCATGCATGGTTGTAAGCATTGCTGTTAAACCATGACAACATAATCCCAGAACTTTGAGCCACATGGTTGTGCAGCAGAAGAGTGCCGCGATTATTGATGTCGCATTGGCGCATGTCGATCCGTTACGCGTATAAGAAATAAGGCAGCTCGAAAGAGAAGAACTCTGTTTGATGGTCAGCAAATTATTCTCGACACCACAGCGAGAAAATGTAGATTGTGAGAAGAATCTTTCAGACAACATGTACTGGCAAGTAACAAGATCAACCCGTGGGTATCTCTCGAACAGCGTAATTTTAATCATGGTCGATTAATTTGGGAAAAGAAGTATCGATTGAAATTGTCATCATTAGATTTGGAGGGGTATGGGAAGGAGAAAAGAAAATATTCAGACATACCATTATTAATTGAGCTTCACGCTCATTGTACATGTGCGACCACTGCAATGATAAGAATCATCGTGAAGATGGGATCTTAGAATTGCTGTAGGGCATGAAAAGAAGATGGAAAAAGTTATATGAAAAAAGAAAATTTGAAGCTCCCGCGATCGAAGATAAATTTTTATATTGGAGATGTCAAAGCTTTCCCTAAGCGAATGTCAGATATGGCACTAGGATTACTTTAGTCTGCATATCACATGATGCTGAGCTACTCTTCATTTGGTTTAGCCTGGAAGTGTCGAATGCTGTAATCCTGCCACCTTTTTTCTTTGGCTAGCACGTGGGAACCAGCTGATAGCAAGGAGAAAAGGAAGAAAGTTCTTGCGTACGGTGTCTCGTTTCGGTCAAATGTGCAATTGAACATACCGGTACCCAGGGACCGATTAGCTAATATGCGATCAAAAGAAAGAGATGCGTAGGAAAGAGCGGAAAATCAGTGAAGAATACGTTAGCAGACGCAATAGAATGTGCAATAGGTCGATACTGACCAAAGGTGGTTGACAATAACTATTGTTCTGCAAAGGACTCGAACTGCAGAGAGCAACATGGCTACTGAAACTGGGTCGTCATAACTGCCTAGTACCTGCTCTATACAACACACTTTACCATGGCATCAACTTTTCACCAGAGACCACTGTTATTGATCTTTGATATTCCGATAAAGCTAGCTTCGTACCACACCTAATAATAAACCTGCCAGTCGATCCGATACACTTTTCCAAACTCAGCTCCGAGGTCTGCAAAGTAATCATCCATCAATCCATCATTCTTGAGACATTCATATACCTCGTCTGCATGCACAAAGTACAATCCTCACGCGAAAAGAACCGCATAACTCCATACATAGATACATAGATAGCTATCGAGGTAGGTCGTCGAGGGAGTAGACGCACGTCGATAATCCAATGACAATCCACGTGGTTTTCCTATTGTGCAGTCTGTTATCAACATGTACAAATGACATACGGTGACCTTTCCCATCCACCACATTCGCCTTTCATCTGATTGGCGCATTTCTTCTTCTTCCCACCTTTTCCATTAGTCATACCTGCACAATAGAAGCATATACCTAGATACTACATACTTGGTCTCTGCACCTCACCCTGACTTCTATACTTAGCACCCTCTTCCTCCACCTCCAGCTACCTACCCTACCCTACATAACTTCTACGGAAAGTGTAGACACACATCATAACATAATCGGAGTTTCGTGTACCAATTTTCTCTTAGATCCCCCCAAAATTCCCATCGTGACAGGGTCCTCTCTCTCGACCTGAACCACAGAAGAACAACCTCAACCACAACCACCACACCACCCACACACACAACTTCACAAGGATTCCTAAAATAAGGCCCAGAAGGTATAGGGTTATTCATCCCCCCGGATTCTCCTTTGCATTTGATAACTTCGCGCAATTCACTTCCTTCCCTACCATTCAGAGATAGTAGTGGTTCCAAAGTAATTAATTAATCATTGTTCATTATTCTATCTACCATCGCTCCCAAAAATTACAAATCGGCGAGGTTGAAGGCAGGACGGGGCAAAAACACGGCTTTACCTGACATCTTTTATCATTTATTTGCCTTGTAGGCGGCTTTTTTTCACACGGCATTGATCGTCGCACTTTCATTCCGGGTACTCATCTACCGATCAAACTTCCCTTTAATTATTTGCACAAAATACCTCGACTTGTCGTGATATTGTGGTTTTCGAATTTCGAAATCCCGACACCATTCGCGGTTCAGAAAGAGTACCCACTTTAGTGTGATTATCGTGCGCGATCGGGGTTTAGTTTGTTCATTACTCGCGACGACATTGTATTCAACACCCCACGACAACGATATAGATTCGAGGAGACAATTGAAGGAATTCATTCGGCCGTGGCGTGAATCAAGCAGAAGATCGTGGCAGACATCGTTCTATTGAACAACGGCGGAGGTGGAAATTGTGGCTCGAGGCGCATGTTACTTGCTTGAACGATATTGTTCGATATCCACATTCCGTGGATAATCGACCTTAAACAAGATGATGACGAGTTTGCAACAACAACACTCACCATATCCAGGACTTCAACATCAGGGCGTTCCTCAGGGCCATATGGCGGGAATGCCTCATGCTCAGGGTCAGCAAGGACAACCAGGTCCAGGTATGCCTCAACAAATGCACATGGGAGTTTCTGGACCAGGTGGTCCTCAAGTCACTCAAGCCGGTGCTATGATGGCTGGTATGCCACCTGGTGCTGGACCAAACGCACATGCTCTACAGCATTTGAACCCAAATCAGCAGGCGCAAGCGGCAATGTTCCAACAGCAGCAACAACAACAGATGAGTAAGTCGGACCTCCTATCACCTGTTCTCTTTTCTCTCCAATGTTTTGTACAGATGCTTTGAATTCGTGCTCTGCACCTTATCCTCAACGCCTCGTTATGCTAACGATGATCCTTTCCAGTGAACGCAAATCCGCAGTTAATGCATCATCAAATGTTACAACAACAAGCAGCCAGGCAGCGCCAGATCCAACTACAACAACAATACAGCGGCGGTGGAATGCCAAACGGAATGCCTGTAAATATGCATGGGATGAACCCAAATCAAATGAACGCTCAATTTGCAATGCGACATGGTACCCCCGGAATGGCTCGTCCGGTAAATCTACCACAGCATCTTGCCCAGCAACAACAGATGGCTCAAGACAACGTCAATCAACAACAAGCACATCAGCAGGTAAGGGGGACTCACAAATGCCACAAATCATATACTAACACTTATTTGTGTTAGACTCAACAGATGATGCTCGCAATGCACCAACAAAATGCTCAAAATCATGGACCGAATGGCCAAGCAGGACATCCCCAGATGACTGCCCAGCAAATGCAACAACTCCAACAACAACACCTTGCGCAACAGCAACAACAACAGCAGCAGCAGCAGCACCAACAGCAGCAACAACAGCAGCAACAACAACAGCAACAACAAGCTCATGCTCAGGCTCAAGCGGTTCAAGCCCAGCAAGCTCAGGCCCAAGCCCAAGCGCAGGCTCAGGCGGCCGCTGCTGTATCTCAACAACAGAACCAAAACCAATCCCAGGTTCAGAATCAGCCACCTCAATCGGCCTCAACACCTCAACCTCAAGCACCACCGCCAGCCGCTCTCCAAGCAGCCATTCAGGCTCAAGCTCAACAAGCCCAAGCCCAGCAAGCTCAAGCTCAGCAAGCCCAAGCTCAGCAACCAACGGGGGCTCTTCAGCAACAGCAACAGCAGCAGCAACAACAGCAACAGCACGCTGCTGCAATGCTACAACAACAGCAGCAGCAGCAGACTAGACAAGGAGAAAAATTAAAGGGGCAATGCCTAATGCGATTGGTACAATTTAGTGATCATCTCGGTGGTTTTTGCAAGGTCGTCAAGCCGGTAGGCTTTTACGAGGCAACTGGCGTTTCTCGGCTGAATGCCGAGTCCATGAAAGAAAAGGACGACTTAGCATATTGGGGAAGCTTTGCGGAGAGGTTTTTCTCCCGAGGGGGGGTTCTACGCTATTCGACATATTCGTACAATCCCCAAGATAACGTCCGTGAGAAACAGTACGAGATAACATCACCTGCGATGCCGAGATACTTTCATACCCACTTCGAAAGTGGTGTTACGAACATGCAGATGATTTTTGAGAAAGGGACTGAAAAGGAATTGCCGCTAAATGGTCATTACATTGAAAGTCAGAACTCAAGTTTTGTCTACTGGTTTGAAGATGGCTCTCACGTAAGTCATTGATTGATTCCATGAAGTTTCAGGTTTTTGTACTAAGTGAATTTAGCTGGTCTCAAATGGCATACTTCGCGCTCATTTTGATGGGGATCAAAAGCTCGAGCTACTTGACTTCGAGACTCGTAGTCATCAGGAGTATGTTCCCCGTAGCATGGCTATAGACAGAGCAAGGCCAATTCACAATTGGGTAAAAGATTGGAAATCCATGAACAATGGACCTGATGGTAAACCATCGCCCGAAATGAACAAAAAGAAACAAAAGATGATGAAATCTCCACCGAATCCTCCTCCTGATTTCGACCTACCGGACACGAAACTGACTCAATACACTGGAATCACACCTATGGTGTTTCGATTTCTTGAGGTATGTTTAATCTAAACCCTAGGCACGCTATTTTTCTAACAATCATAGATGAATGAGGTTTTGGCTCAAATGAATCCTTTAATGAGCTATCTGCAAACAAACCCAACACTTACTCCCTATAAAGCCATAGACGCATACATGGCCCAAGTGAATAGCAATGGAGCAAACGGTGGTCCTCAAAACCCCTCGGGTCCACGAACACCGGCAATGGTTAATTTCCCGATTGGTGCTTCTCCTGCAGCTGCACACTTACAAATACCAGAAGGGTCACCTCATATGATGGGTAGTCCAGCCCAAGCTCCAGGTATGCAGCTCCAACAGAGTCAACATGGAACCACGTCAAGTGGCCCAAGCGCAAACACAAGTCCCAATGCGAGTAACAAACGAAGAAGACCAAGTACAGTCAAGGCCGAAGAAGATGGACAAGCCAACGGGACAGGAAAAAACAACGTCAAACCTAGTCCACGCATAACGAAGAGACAAAAAGGAAATCCCGCTTGAAAAAAATTCTAAGGCCCAACGAAACAGGCATA